TTGAGGGTTGTGCAAACATAGTAGGCAATTATGAAGAAAGGAGCAGAGGTTTGGGTTTTGGGTTTTTTTTATGCTTTAGTATCTGAAAACTTTATGCTAGTTTATTTAAATGTATTGTTGCTGATCACAGCTAAGGTTACATCTGCATGGCACAGTCTTGTACCCTGATAAATACTCCTACCTGTGAACGGTTTAATTTCTGAGGATAATTAGCTGTGTGGAAAAGAATTTATTAACTCAGGCAGTGCTATGCTGGCATAACTACACTGCTTCTGGCAACTAGATTAGATTGGGTATTATTATGTGCAACTAGTTGCACCATACAGAAATCTTAAATGCTCTGTCATGAAGATCCAGTTGGGTTAGACAATAAGTATGTGTTTGCCAAAAACATCTGTATTTATGTATTTATTAGATGACGAAAATTCATTAGGCTTTCTAGGATTCACAAATCAGTATTCTAACATCTTGTTTCGTCTTTCAAAATGCCATTGGTGCTCTCTGCTTTGCCAAAACCTAAAATAAAATAAATTTCTTTCAATGAAAACCTTAGCTTAATATCAGGAGCTATTTGCAGATATTGAAGTGTTGTTGACAAATGCAGTGTTCATGATCTGACAGTTACAAGCTTATAGGTAATATTTTTTTCTAAATAGAATCATCTCTGGAATTACTTTTGTTAATGTTAGTTGGCATCTCATATTCAGGGGAGGTTAAGATTGGCAGGCTGGGATTGCTGTCTTTCTTTCTGTTTGTGATCCTGGTGCTGATTGCCTAACTATGAACTTCCTCATCCAGTGCTGCTAGTAACTTCCAGTCTGATAGATGAGCATTTTTAGAAATTAGAAGTAATTGAATCTCAGTGCTTACGAAAGCTTTTGTGCTTTTTGGAAAGAGTCCACCAGCTATGTTGTGTTGAGTTAGTTGTTCTTATTTCAGTGATGTGTGTGTCTGTCCAGTGAGAACAGAAAACAACGTTTTAAATTCAGGGATGTCTGTGGGTTGATTTTTAACTTATTGGAAGTTGGATAGTTAAAACACTAATATTCTGCTTCTGTTCTTACTAGTTTTCCAGTCCAGAATTGTAAGGAGTGTATTCATAACATGTATATACCTCTCAGTATAATGCTGTTCAGGTTTTCCAGCTGAAATGCCTCAGCCCTTAACTTTCAAGCTATGTTCAAGTACCCCATGAGGAACTCTGCTAAATATGTTTGAGATTGTGGTGTTTCTGGCACCTTTCTAGGTACTTTTTCTAGGACAGTGTCTGCTGTTCTGTGAAGTGGTATAGAAGTCCTTCCAGCTCAACAGTACATGTGACTATGGAAGATTTTAGAAAGCTTTTGGGCATTATGCCAAAAAAAGTCGAACAATATTGTTTGTTCAGTGACAGAACTGAGCGCAACTGCTAAATTGTTATGTGCATCAGGGCCAAAATGAGATTAAGCCTTTTAACTTTCTGGGCTAACATCTCCCAAATGTATTTCTTAAAAGATTGATAAAGGGACGAGGGGATGGTGGGACTTTGGCCAGATGTGGACACAGCTGTGTGTGATCAAAGCAGGAAAGCTGCACAACTGTGTGCCTGAACCATTCGTGTGCTTGTCCGACCTTGTACTCATGGAGACTCAGGCTCATTATACCCCATGTGTCTTCCTCTTCTGCCTCCTCAGCAGATACACATTTAGACCAATTACTTGAATAATGTTCTGTATAAATAAATAATACATTGGCACAATCGAATGATAGCTTTAAGTACTGGGAGTTTCAGCTGTCTCCTTTCATTGGATAAACCATACAGCTTGCTTCTAGGAGGCTTGTCTTTATCAAAAGTTTATACAGAGTGAAGGCTGTGTGCTGCAAATACTATGTTTCTGTGAACAATCTAGACAATGTGCAGTTATTTTGATTTTATTGCAGCTTCTTGACCAAAGTAGTTTTGTTTTTTACAGCTAAATTTGAACTGAGATGAGAACTATCCATGTGGGGTGGCTGGAAGTATCAATGTGGAGCTATGCAACATTCCCTTATAAAAATTTGAATGAGTTCATACTGGGTACTACCCCGGAGAACCTATTTGTCTCTATTGTGTGTGGTTTAAGGTATTTATAATGCAATAATAAAATCTATTTTTTGCCCGGTATGCATACAAATGTTATTGCATTCTCAGCTTAGCAGTCACTTCCAGTGTTTTCTTAAAATTCTGTACAACTGGATTTTGTTTGATGTGTGTTGTTTCATACCAGAACAAATGACTAAAGATTATTCTATTCTATACAGTGGAAAATGGTTCAGAAACATCATTTTGGAGATTTTGATAAAAATGCAGGTTTTGTAGATGAAAAGTCATCTTTAAGACAATATTCTTAATAATAATTTTGGGAGTGTAAAGCTCATAAAAAATATCTGTAAACATACACAAACATTTGCTATGTCAAACATGCCTACTGATCCTCGATCATTTATTGCCTCTTATGGAACTAACCTAACATGTTCTTGACCTTCAGACTGCTAATAGAATTGTAATGCACTTCTAAACTGTGCAACTCTTAGATGGTCATAACAAATTATTCTCTGTATTGTATCTGGAAATATTTAATTTTCTGCTTGCTTTAGTGCACAGTGGATATTACCTGACAATATTCAGTGTTTTGAGGAGGAGGGAAAAAAAAGAAAAGGAGGCAGGTTTCTATGTCATATAGTCCTTGCATCTGTTTTGTGAGAATGCCATTTTGAATAACTTGTGCATAGTTAGTTGACACTGTGATATTTTTTTCCCTTGCTCCTTTTATGCATCGTATTGTATTTTTCTTTAATATGGTGAGTTACAGCAGCTGTCTTGCAGTCCCTTTATTATGGAAGTTACATAGGACACTGCATATTTGAACTCCCAGTTACACCTGAACCAGATGGTGTAAAAATGGGAAAAAAAGAATTCTGTCAAATCAGTTGAAGATTGTGTAAAGAGAAAGCAGATATTTAATATACAGAAACCATTACAGGAAAACCACAATTAATATCTACATTTTGGTATGTCTAGCAGCTGAAAACCCACCACATACAATGTAAGCAAGTTAAAAAGTTGAACAGTGCCCTCCTCCTTCCTCTCCCAAGCCTGAACAGTTGGAATTTTGTAATTTTGACCATGTTTTCTTTGCGGTGCAAAAAAATAGTAGATTTCCCCATATTCATCAAGCTTTGCAGCTACTAGTAGCTCTTCTCTACTGTCTTAAATATATTTTTCAATGTCTCTGTTTAAAAAAAATATTAAATGTAGGAAGGAGAAGGAAATTAACTGCAGTGGAAGGATATAGTATTTACAATATTAGCACAAAAGTTCCAAAATGAAGCCTTGGTGCTACATTTCTATCTGGCGCATTTGTAGGTACTCTGCCTCCTTAACATGTGGTCCTTGAAATAATGCATCACTCTGTTTAGGAATACTGTTGTTTAGGAATACATTTGCTGTGATCATAATCCTTAAAAATGACCTGTTACTTTGAATACCCATTTTATAAGACTAAACCACTTATTTCCAGAAGGATGGAATATCCTGAGCTCCAAAAGTAGTCAGCATAAATTACAGGTGCCTATTACCTTACATATACAAATCAGCCTTCTAGCTTTCAACCTGGACTTTAGCAATGCTCATATATGAAATAGTGAAATGAAAAATCTTGAAGTTTTCTGTATTATTAATGTATAAAGAATTCTGTCTCTTGATTATTACAGACGATCCAACTTGTGCCTTTTTTCTTCATGTTTTTTTTTTTTTTTCAAATATTCAGACTTTTACTAAGTCAAATGCTGTATTTTTCCTCTTCTTTGAAATGTTTATTTTTCTAAGGAAATGTTTGTTTTTTTTAAAAAAATAAACTCTAAGGACATTGATTTTGGGCACAAGTACTTAATATCTTTGAATAGCTTTTTAAGAGTACAAATTCCTTATGTCTTTGCCTGATTGCAAAGCTGTGTAATGGTGAATCACTTCTCTAGATTAAATTAAAAATCATGAGCTCTATGCTATGAGAAGTACACAAGATACAGTTTAGAAAGAAAAAAGATGTTAAAATGCTGGTTACTCCAACTGATTGTGTAATACCTCCTTGGTTGTTTTACAGAAACAAACACTGTGACACTATCCTGTGACACTATCCATCAGCACAAGGATATATTTCCGTTTCATTGCAGCTGGAGTCAATAACTTCAGACTGAAAAAGGTTGGTTTTAAGACTACAGACCATGACAGTTTTTAACAGTGAAGGGTCATTCATGTTTGTGTAAATACATGTGTACTTGTATGTTTAGAGATGTTTCTTTCTGTGTTTGCACGTGTTTAACCTTCAGCTGACGTAATATGAAAAGCATTTAAGGAATTTGATATGTTTTGTGGAGCAGGAGAATTTCCTGAAAAAAAAATACAAAAAAAATACACATCTACTGGAAAAAAAGAATAATGTGGTGGGGGTTTTTTTGTTGTTTTTTTTTTCCCTCCCCATTCAAAAAGCTCTGTTATTGGACCGATAAATTAAAGCTTGCTATAACTGGTATTTGAGTTAATGATGCCTTGAATCTTAGAACTGGGCAGTTTTCCCATAACCCCAGAGTCAATGCTCCCCTTTTTAGCTTGTTGATTTGACTAAATTATTTATGTTATGAATTAACTGCATCACAGTATTTTAATTAAGTATGTTTGTAGTAATTTTTAAAATGGCTGACTGGGATAGGCTGTCTAATTATATTTTATCTGTAAGAAAGCATTAGCTCTGCTCTACTGATAGCTAACAAGGCCATCTGCAATGCCTTTCAGTTCACTCACACTGAATTGTTCAGATAAAGACTGTCAAGTGCTGCCTAAATAAGGAAGGAGCCTTGGTAGAGTTAAGTGCAGCATTGCTTAAATGAAGCATTGATTCCAGGCATGCTGTAGGGTCTGAGCCCTTTCCTGCAACTCTGAACCTTCTTAGACTTTTCATTGTTGTTTTCTGCAAAGTATTAAAATGCGAGTATCTGTCATTCAGGATCTCAAGGAAGATGAAAATGACGATGGGGAAGAAGAAGAAGAAAAGGTGAGTTAAACCCCAATAGCTTTGAAAAGAGCTTATTTCCTTCTGATGTTACCCTTTTAGGACTATAAACCTGCAATGATTACTTTTCTCTTACAGGTCTTCCTCAAGCCTGTTATTGAGGACAGAAATATGGAATTGGCCCGAAAGTGCAGTGAAATGATAAGTGATGTAAGTGATGGTGACTATTTGCTTCCTTACGTTTGCATTTCTCTTATCAAGTGGGTTTATATTTATGATACATATTTTTCAGATATGTGCACTGCAGCATGTGCCCATCCAAGGCTCAAATATGAAAGCACAGGAAATAACAGAAAAGCACAGCCTGTGCTTGTACCTTATATTATCAGATGCACAACATAGGCCAGGGGAAGAAGAATGTTCCAAAAAGTGGGTTTCACTCTGAGGATGCCTCCCATGAGAACACCTTGGCTGATTTCCTCAGGAAATGAGATGAATTTTCAGTGTTACCTGTTGGTCTGTGGTGATAGATGCTCAAAATTGCTTAGCATATTATTATTGACTTACAGGAAGAATCCATGAATGCTGAAATGCTAGAATATATTTTAAAATTATTTAGCTATTGTGGGAAACTGCTTGCGACAACTACAGACCTTTAAAATTGTTGATCAGATACAAACATTATATCATCCTAAGAGAAGCCACCAAGATGGCTCCCTGGTATACTCAAGATACTTTACGAAGTAGTAGAGATTATTAATATTTTTACCTATAGTTATCTAAGTGTTTTCTTTGGGAAAAGAGTGGCATATGGTACAATAAGTGCCTGTTAACTCATATAAAGGCCAAAATGAAAATGGACCTGGAGCACATACCTGACCCCAAATACATTTATTGCCTCCATGCGACTTGTTTCTGAAAGAGTTGCTGTTCTTAAAGGAAAAGGTCCTGGAAAAGTGCTGAAGAAATATTTTCTTTGATATAGAAGGAATTATCACTGTGCTCTGTACCCGTTAGAAGTAATGTTGGCTGTGGCTGGTAACTAACTGGTAAATGGAGTGGCTCTATTTTCTCTGATTTTCTACTGGGCCTTGGGACCTAAGGTGAGTAACAGGCCAGGTTTCTGAAGCCTGTAATGTTTCAGGGCAGGAGGCTTTTGCTGAAAACTCGTGATAACGTTTAGGCTGCAAGTGTGTTAGATTTTCTTTAAAATGTGTAAAGGGTAATGGCAAAGTCTCATTAATGCTTTCAAAGCAGTAGCAATATGTAATGGCCCAGACCAGTTTAATTTCAAAGAAGAACTATGCTTAAAAATGGCATCCAATTTTGGGGCCTTATTCAGCCTCTGCTGAAATCAGTAGGTGTTTCTTCATTGCCCAGAATGGAATACATGCATGTATAGAGGGTGAATTTTTTTTCCCAGAATATTTGCTATAATTGGAATCTCTTATGACCACAGAAGTCATTGGTGCTGGGGGGGTAAGTTTCTCACCCTGCACATTTCATTGTGGAGGCAAATAAACTGCAAGGAGTTTGCATTCTTGCCTTTGATTTTTGAATCATTAACATCTAGAACTTTTTTATATTTTTCTAATCCTTTTTAGCATAAATCTTTACACAAACTGGTGTTAGTGTGGATGTATGATTGGTGTGTATCTGTGTATTTTATCTTATGGGGCTTGAAGTTTGGCCCTAAGATGACCTTGGGACAGCAGCCTGTGTCCTTGCTGAACACGAGACTGGGTGATTATCCTTTTGTGCTGGCAGAGCTGTCAGTGCAGCTCCTCCATCAGAATGCAGCACCACGAGTGCTCATGGCTGAGATATTGAAGTTGCTTTATGCTTGCCCTGCATTCTTTGCAGGGTTACTTTACTTTGGCAATATGGCTTTTAAAAAGTGTTGCAATGGCAGCCCTTGGTGCATGTTAAACTGTCTGCCTTGAACTGTACGTAAGAGAAATTCTGAAGTGTTTATGTGTTCTGGTTCTTGAGGAAAACCCCATTTTCATTTGAGGTTGGCAGATGTTTGTTCTGTGGCTGTGATACCCCCTGCATATTTCTCCCTAAAGTAATTTAATTTAATCTCTGTCCATTGTGCGTTTTATTTCACAGATGTTTTCAAAACTGTCATGTGTATTTGATTTATCTTTCCCAGACCTTTTCTCTTCAGTGTTGAAATGTAGCCTGTCCATTTGTTTTTATTATTTACATTTTGGTAAATTTTAATCTCTGTTTTGATTGCGTGGTGTGATGTTGTGATTACTGATATAAGCAGAGAGGGTAATTATTATACAAATAAAATGATAATTGACCAAACTACCATAATAAGCAGACACTCTGCTTCTCAAGATTCTCCTGAATTTTGGTAATATGTGCTACCAGTCCTTCTTCTCCCCTGCAATAAAAAGTGTATTGCTTGCTATTTGACTGTCCTTGCATGGTGTCCCAACTTTGCTTTAACATGTCTCATTATTGTAAAGCAAGGGTCGAGGAGACCTAGAGTCGAGGGCAGAGACTGAGGCCCTTCTGACTGGTATCAGTAGGTGTGGAGGGTGGACCTGTTCCTCTGGGTTATTGCTAGTCACAGCCTCTAACTCAGGAGGACTTTGAGGTTCAAAGAGCTGGAGACTAGTAAAATAACTGTGGGACATGGTAGTGAATGCTTGCCCTATTCTCATACTTTTCTCTAGGTTTCTGTGGCCACACAGAGAGAATTATATTAGATGGATCTGTGGTCTGACACAGCCTTTAAGTCTTATGAGAGATTATAAATTAAGAAATTTAGGGTTGGAAAAGAAATTCTTAGTGGAAAAAAAAGTTCCCTTTTGGTCTAGCATAAGAGCTAGGTAAGGAGGTGCACACCTTTTTGTGGCTTTTATAGGCTTAAATGGGTCTTTGAGAGACAGCAGCTCTGTAATGGATCTTGGCATGTTGACTGTCAACATAGTTACAACACTGATGTCAAGAAACAGTTTTTCAAATATATTAATATTAAAATTAGGATAGTATGTGTCCCTGAATACCAAGGAAAGGTGGCTGCTTGGATTAAGTTGTTACCATCAGAGCCTTTCCTTTAGCTCACAGTCTTCTCCTGTGTTTCCCCCATAAAAAGACCAATGGAAGAGGCCATTATCTTGAAGGATTATCTTGAAGAGCCAGAAAGCTTCAGACTGAAGATTGGATGTCCTTGTTTTATAAAGTTGATCCTGCTATATAGCTTCCCTTAAGAAAAACAAGGCCATTTGAAGTTTACTGTTTTAGTGGGTTTCTTGGAATTTGAATCCACTTTTATTGGATAGCTGTGCTGCTGGTCAGAATAGTTCTATGATGAGTCAGGGAGAAAAGGATCATGAGAGAGCTATTGAAAATTTGGCCTCTAGTGAGCTATTGGACTTCAAAGTTATTTTAAAAGAGCAGTGGTGGCTCCAGGCCATCTTTGGCAAATTTTTCCTACTTGTTTTTATTTTTTTTTTAAGGTTTACCAGATTTATTGAATCTAAACAGCATATTTTGTGGTGAAGAGTAAGTGGCTTTCAGGCAAAAATTTCCTATTCAGTATTTTAGACATTTGAATTTGTAACCCCAAACTTTGAAGAGGAATATAAACTTCTTTACATGTTGTTATATGTCCTCTCTAAATAGTGCATTTGAGCCTGCACACATTTTTTTGGCCTTCATGGGTTGCTATAATAAATGTGAATAATAAAGGAGCAAGGAGGTGGTGTTAGTGCTTTCCTGCTTTCATCTGTTTTGAAAGCATGGCTTCTGCAGCAGAATGACTTTGATTGTTTCTTCTAGTCATGTTGTGTTGTCCCCCCCGCCCCTTCTGATTAAGAGATATCTTAGAAGGCTTAAATGTTTGATTTTTAAATGTAATTATTAGTCTGTTATTAAAATGGATGTCTTTAAAGCCAACTCTCAGTTATCCATGGGTGATTTATCTATGTTGTGAGCAGGAAGACTCCCTCATCTCCTTTAGCAGAGTCTCATCTTTACAGGAGGTCTTCTTGGAAACTCCATCAAATCTAGCCAGTAGATAGTCAGCTCTTCAGACTTCCTGCATCACTTGTCAGCTGTATCACCATTAATGTCTATAATTCTATGAAGCTTCTTAAAAAGCTGTTCATGTACACATTCTGTCCCCTTGCAAGTACATGCATGTGTGCCAGTACATGCATGCAGGTTGACAATAAGTGCCTGCTCATGCTTATCATAAAACTGACCTTTTTGTGCATTGTGATGTGGTTACCTGGGAGCTGATTCTGTGTAAACTGCCATCCTCCTCATGAATTTCCTCAGTCCCTGTAGAGAAGCATAGACTAGAACTTGTGATATCCATTAAGGATTCAGAGAAGAGGAAATTAAGACTGCGTATTTCTGTAATGCTCAGATGCAGATCATATTGCTTCTGTCAGTGCTTGTCAGCAAGTCTAGAGTGCACAAATGCAAGCTGCTGTTGTGCAGAATGTGAAAATGAGGTTAGAGGAATGGTAACAGATAATAACCACGAAAGCTTAATATAAAATAATTCAATTTGCATTGAACAGATCTATTATATGTACACAGAATGAAAGGTCAGTTGTTATGCTTCAAAAATTATTTCTGTTGCACATACAAATGACTTGAAAAATAGCTCAGTTTAAAATTAATGCTCTTAAACTCTGACATTGCCTACATGTCATGACAGTTGGGGTGCTGGATATGATTCGGTGATGGCCTTCTGAAGATTTTCATATAACTCTTGGATTTATGGAGCATTTGACAGTGACTTTTGATAGTGTTATACAGAATCTGTGCTTCCTAAATTGGTGTTAAAGGTTGAACTTTACCTTTGAGATTAAGGAGAAAATACTTTATTCAATTCTCCTTTCTTTAGAGATACTGGAACATGAACAGACAATGGTCAAAATTTGCTCTATATGCAGAAAAAATCGTATATTTTTAATGGTTTAGAGGTGGACTTGGCAGTGTTATGTTTATGGTTGCACTCAATGATCTTAAAGGCGTTTTCCAATCTAAATGGTTATATGATCTTTAATGAGTTCTGTGACTTTTACATAGCCCTGGTACTATATGTGAGAACTGGGTTTTTCCCCATGTGGCCTAGTTTGATTCAGCCTGAGGCATTTGCAAGCCAACAAGCATAGTATTAATGAGTTTTTTTTTTTTTTTAAAATTAAATAAAAGTATAATTTGCTTGGTGTTGGCTTTTTTAAAAAAATATTTTAACAACAATTAAACTAATTTTTTTCTCCTCTCTGTAGATACACTATAAAGAAGAGTTTAAAAAATCTAAGGGCAAGTGTATATTTGTACCTGACACCCCACAGCTAAAACACGTGAAAAGTCTCGGTGCTTTTATTTCTGAGGTAAGACCTGAAACACAGAAGAATTCTCTTTGCTTCTTATCCCTCATAAAAGCTCTCTCAATTGAATACGGTATTTTTTAGCATGGAAATAACAATTCTGTTTAAAGCTGAAGTGACTTAAAGCACCCTAATTAGTGTGTTCTGTATATATTAATAAAAATAATTTGGAATTGTGCAACACTTTTATTCTGGGATACCAAATGTTTTAATAATGGTTCTGAGGCAGTCTTAGCTACTCTGTTTTATGGATGAGTAAACTGAGATATTTCTTGTTAGACATTTTATAGTGATGGAGTTTGCAGATCATATTTGTGCATAATTTCCCTGCTGTGGAGAATTCATAGCCTGACTGTCTAGCAGAAGGGGAGAAGGAACCTGTTGTTCTCCTTCAGCAAGGGGACTGGGGCAGACATCAGGTCAATGGCATCTGCAGGTCTCCTGAGCACTTGCACGCATAGATACGCACATCCATGCCAGAGCTTTTATGGCTTTGTGTGTACCACAGACACACATACAGCCACAACGGTAGTGGCAAAGAAAGAATGGCAGCTTCCAAAATGCCAGAGCAGAGTTTACTGCCAGTGCTTTGTGTCCCAGGCACAAGGTATCATAGGATTATGTGTCTGATTATTTTTCCCAAGGGAGAACATCAGCAGGATTTTTATCGGAGTTGCTTTTATTAAGGAATTGCAGGTTCGGAGTGATTTTTCTGTCACTGTGATGCTTGGAAGACTTAAAATTTTATCTTACCTATATGATTATGTTCAAGCACATCTCAATATACCTGCCTGGATTTATGTAATTTATGTATATTCTATCTTCTATTTCTTACATACGTATATTTGCTGTGTGGCTACATTAAATGTAAATTAATCTGATTAATATTTTTGTTACATTTACCTTCAATGAAGAAAGTGTAGTAAATCCCAAGGGGCATAAACATGATGAAATGATACTTTCTGAGATACAAATTATTGCAGTCTACAAAAGCACAATACAGATAATTTATTTAATCCATTTGTCTGATTACAAAGAGATGCTGCAAATTATTAATCAAAGATTTAGAGATACAAAGATATTTCAGAATTTAAAATCCAAATGTTTTATGTTATCACACTGTTGAGCACCCTGTTGCTTATTGCTGCATTTCTTGAAGCATGATGTGGTGGATATTTTATCTTGTAGATTACTGACCTCTAGTGTCCCATAACCTGCTTTTGCAACAGTTGAACACTGAAATCTTTAACAGCATATCTCTGGCAGTGAAAAAGAGCTCTCTGTTTTGGAGACAACAACAAATGTTACAGCAAATTATTGATGGATGGAATATATATGAGGAACCAGTCTCTAATGAACAGCTGTATCTTGCGCAGTAAATTAATGACATTAGACAGTATCATTTAGGATAGCTTTGATATTTGCAATTACTTTCACAGCAGTAGCTGATATTATTGTTTTATGAATTTAAAAAAGTTTTTTGAATTTGATCAGGAGCAAAAGCCTCCCAGATTTCGAACCATTGTTCTGGCCTGTCTCATAGGCTCTTTTGTGAGGAATTGCTAGTACTGGACACTGAAGAAAATAAAGGTTAAATAAAAAGTAGTTTAAAAATAAGTCTGTAACATGAGACAATTAAGTAGAAGTGATGGCAGACATGCTACCACTTATTAATTGCTAAAATATTTTTTTCTTGTCCTCTCATTGCTGCCATTGTGCAAAACTTTGGTAAAGAGAAAGAAAAAAGTTAATTTTGGTTTTTGGAAATGATTTTTAAAAGGATAAAAAAATTACTGCCTTGCTTTCCTTATTTTATACTTCCTACTAAATTATTGAATTGAATTAGAAGGTACTTTACATTGCTTCATGAATTAGACACATCCACCAAGAGTATTTTAGAGTTATTTAAAAATCTGGTTTGCTTGAAAGTTTATAACATAGAATTAGATTTTTCTAATTCTAATGGTCTTTATAGCATTTTAATAGAAAAAAAATATCTAGTATGATTACTGTATCTTTCTTAGTTTTTGCATTGTGTGTTTTTTCTACCCTGTAGGTAAAGTACAAAGGAGCTGCTAAGAAAGACCTTTCGAACTCTCTTTATCAGCAGATGCCAGCCACAATTGACAGCGTATTTGCAAAAGAGTTAACACAACTTCAGAGCAAGGTACAATTTTAAAATCACAAAGATTATTTTTATATTAATTTTGTGACAGCTTATGACCAATCTGAGCAAATTTTTTTAACGTATCCTTGGTTACCTGCTTGATTTATTTAGGTGAGTTTATAATAAAGAATTTATCACCATAATTTCTTAACTTCAACTACTTGCTTTTTAAATTGTTGTCAGTCTGGCTCATTATGTTTATTAAATATAATTTTTAAAACTAGCAGTGCATTAATCAATCAAATGAAATCCATTAGAAGTCTATGAACGCAATAAGGAATTATTAAATTCGGTGACATTGCGCTGCATTTATAGACTAGATGAATCTTATATAATGAACGTTTCATTTGGCTGTTATATTAGCTTTATAAAGTGTTTGATGCTGAAGTGAATAAAAAACAAAAAAACTTTAATGACTTTTAAAGGCACTAACTGTACCATTACATGTATTTCTAATGGCCTACAGACCACGACTCATAACAATTTTATAGAAACAAAAATATGAAATCAAGTATATTGAACATATCTGAAATATGCAAACAACCAGTAAAATAGTAAATTCCTGTTCAGTTGCTTCCAGGGGCATAAAATATAATATCCTTAATATAGGCAAGTGACCCTTCACTTACATTGATCTCAGTGGAATTGTGAGTACTAAGTATGTGTAATATGAATGAAGTTACAGATTTTCATTGTTGTTCATGTGGATTACAGCTGATAGATGGTTGTGCATTTCTACAGTTTTCTTCTTTTGCCTTTCTCCACTCTTAAAGATATTAGCTAAGTATAGTTTAATACAGCCAGTATCTGAAGTGAACACACTCCTAAATCCATATTATTGATTGTATCCCAATATGCATTCTTCTAATGCAGTGATTTTTTTTTTTGAACAAAAGAACATATTAATAACAAAACTAACTAAAATCTCTGGGTAGCTTGTGGAGAAATGTTTTGATATAATACAATGTTTTCATTGAGACTATATTAAGCAAATGCAAGAATGTAAAGTATATTTTAGTTTTTATACTTTGAAATGGAACATATATACACTCAAGATAGAGCAGCACAGTAGCTGAAATGGCATTAATGTGACATTTCTTTGTGAAGTGAGTGATCAGGAGAATTACAGTGGAAATAAATTGGGAATTAAACTTGTGTAACGTTTTTAAACTGTTAGCTTGATTTATAAAACATTTGTTAACCAGTTTGCCACAGATTTACTCCTGGATTCATTCCAAATGAGTACAGTCTACATTAGTTTACACAAATGAGGTAATTAATATCAGTGATGTGGCAGGAAAGATAAATAACTGAGTAAAAATGAAAGTATTCGATTCATAAAAAAAACACCTTTTAAGGAAAAGACCTACATTTTAAATTTTTTTGAAGGTTTTCTGCAGTTCTCCAACAGTCATAGAGAAACAAATATGACTATAAGATGAGTTATATTTAAGCAGAAACTTTTCCTGCAAAATTCATACCATCCCCTTAGGAATAGATGCATTATAAATCATAATCTACCATAAAACTTAAATATATGCTGACACATTTTTCCAACTTGTGGTTACTGTTGCAGTGGACCTGAATTTAATGCTACTTTGAGAGAGATCCCAGAGGATTTTCTAGTTGAAAAATCTCTACAGTATTCAAATCTAATCCATATTGTGCCTATCACTGCAGTACCTAAGTAGCTGATACAAGGGTTTCAGATTTCATCTGGGTCAGGATGTGGCAGAGAGGATTTCTGCTGCATCTATCTAGCTGAAATTGTCAATTTATGGGTCATCCCTTCAGCAAGAGGAAACCAAGGGTATGCCATGGAATCATAAAATCATAGAATGGTTAAGGTTGGAAAGGACCCTAAAGATCATCAGGTTCCAACCTCCCTGCTATAAGCAGGGATACCTCCCACTAGACCAGACTGCATGAAGCCTCATCCAACCTGCCTTAAATACCTCCAGGAAGGAGGCAACCTCACTTGGCAACCTATTCCAGTGCCTTACCCTCGTGGTGAAGAATTCCTTCCTGATGTCTAACCTAAATCTACCCTCTTTCAGTTTAAAACCATTACCCCATGTCCTATCTCTGCCCTCTCTGATGAAAAGCCCCTCCCCAACTTTCTTGTAGGCCCCCTTCAAGTACTGGAAGGTACTATAAAGTCTCCCCAGAACCTTCTCCAGGCTGAATAGCCCCAGCTCTCTCAGCCTGTCTTCACAGCAGAGCTGCTCCAGCCCTTTGATCATCTTTCTGGCCCTTCTTGGGAACCTCTCCAATATCTCCAGATATTTCCTGTCCTGAGGGCTCCAGAGCTGGACACAGTACTCCAGGTGGGGTCTCACCAGAGCAGAGTAGAGTGGCAGAATCACCTTCCTGGCCCTGCTGGCCACACTTCTTTTGATGCAGCCCATCTCACCTGCAAAAAGGGTGTTGAAAGCACAGAACTGCATTCGGGTTCCCATGTATAGTAAGTTGATTTTAAATAGGTGCTGATTTTCTGAGAGGTGGAAAGTATGAGTACGTGTCCTCCTCCTCATAATTTAGGACAAATTTACACCTTTAACTCCCTTTTCATGCTTCCTGGATGAAAGGCTGGGCTTGAATGCTTTTGTAGCCAGATCAAACAGGTGCTTTCTCGCTCTCTGGTGCCATGTTCTTGGCAGGATCCATAGCCATATCTGCCCAGCAGGTGTTTGGGGATTAGGGATCAAGCTGGTGGCTCATGACTTGGATGTGCATATGCTTTGCTGGATGAAAAATTGGTTGGATGGCCAGGTCCAAAGAATTGTGTTAAATGGAGTTAAATCCAGTTGACGGCTGGTCGCAAGTGGTGTTCCCGAGGGCTCAGTGCTGGGGCCACTCCTGTTTTACATTACTGATGATTTGGATGAGGGGATAGAGTGCACTCTCAGTACGTTTGCAGATGATGTTGAGTTGGGTGGCAGTGTCGACCTGCTTGGGGGCAGGGAGGCTCTGCAGAAGGGATCTGGACAGGCTTGACTGATGGGCCGAGGCCAATGGCATGAGTTTCAATAAGGCCAAGTGTTGGGTCCTGCACTTTGGCCACAACAACCCCCAGCAGTTCTACAGGCTTGGGGAGGAGTGGCTGGAGAGCTGCCCAGCAGAGAGGGACCTGGGGGTGCTGATCGACAGCTGCCTGATCATCAGCTGGCAGTGTGCCCGGGTGGCCAAGAAGGCCAACACCATCCTGACCTGCATCAGGAATAGTGTGGCCAGCAGGACCGGGGAGGTGATCCTGCCCCTCTACTCAGCCTTGGTGAGGCAAACTTGGTAAGTTTTGGGCACTGCAGTAAAGGAAGGACATTGAGGCACTGCAGAGGGTGCAGAGAAGGGCTCCTGGGTTGATTAGGGCTCTGGAGAACAGGTCTTAGGATGAGAGGCTGAGGGAGCTGGGGCTGTTCAGCCTGGAGAAGAGGAGGCTGAGGAGAGACCTCATTGCTCTCTACAACTACCTGAGAGGAGGCTGTGATGAGATGGCTGTTGGTCTCTTCTCTGTAGCGACCAGTGGTAGGACAAGAGGAAATGGGGTCAAGTTGTGCCAGGGGAGGTTCAGATTGGATGTTAGGAAAAAATTATTCACAAAAAGAGTGGTGAGGCAGTGGCACAGGCTGCCCCGAGAGGTGTTGAAGGCACCGTTCCTGGAGGTGTTAAAAAAATGGGTAGACATGGTGTTTCAGGAGATGGTTTAGTGGTTAGGGGTTGTAGGGCAGATGGTTGGACTTTATCATCTTTGAAGGTGTTTTCCAACCTTGATGTTTTTATGATTCTATGATTCTAAAGAGCCACTGACTCTTCCTGCTGCTGCCTGCTGGCACCAGACTGCTGAGGCTGGTGTGCCTCTTCCAGGTGGTCTCCTTACAAAGGTGTGGCCTTGGCAAGTGGTCTCTCCCATGGTTTTGCTGTTTGATCCTGAAGTAGTGCTGCTGCACTGCTGCGGCCCTACCGCTCCTTTTTCAGCCTGCCTAGATCTAACCCAAGTTATTAATTTAATACACTGTTTCAGCTCACACTCGTGATTTAGGTACTTGGATACAACTAGGTGAAATTCCCTTTTTCTCAGAAGAAATTATTTCCCACCTACAGCTGTCCTTCATAGTCCTCTCCAGAGCAAGCAGACTGCCATAGCACCAGCTATTACTTTTGCATACTCTTACTGATAGAGCAGTTTGCATTAACTTCTGCAGGGCCAGGAGTTTGTTCTGCAGGGTTCCAGCCATACAGTGTCAGCACTGACAGGATCTTACCATAATGGAAAGTACAACACCCTGACACTTGTGGTTCTCCTTCTGTGGAGCTTTCTTCTCATGTTGGCTGTATTGATTAATGCTCAATTTCCTCTTCAAGATACACAGGAAGGACTAAAACAAGACCACCTCTGTTGACTTTCACATAAAACCCACACTTGCTCTTTTGTGTATTGTACAGAACTGGCATGAAGATGGAAATAATAATACTCAGAGAATGAAACCCATCTAAAATCTTGGCAAAAAAATCATTATGCTATTTATGGAAAAAAATGTTTCAGGAGAATGAGAAAGAAGTTTCATAGCCCCATAGACTATTGCCTTCTAAATAGCAGTCTTGAGGGTAAGCAATCAAACTTTACTCCCTCTCTCTCTCTTGTCATAGCTGTCCCCAGGGTAAGCTAGAAACAGCAGAAGCCCCTGTCACCACTGTGTATAACTTCACCCTCCTTGCCCAGCTACAAAGCTCTCACCAATTTCTCTGTTCTCTGCAATAAGAAAAAAAAACAAACAGTTGATGAGACCAGTCTAGGTAGGGAGCCCTCACTTTGATTTTCCTGGGAGGAAATGGACTTTTTCTGGAAAAATTGCATTTTCCTGTGGAAAGTATTTCTGAAGGAAAATTTCTGGTGATTGCTATCTTTGTGCCACGTGTTTTTCTTGTCTGAAGTCCAGTGTACTGAATTCTTCCTTACACAGAACATTTTTTTTTTAAAAAAAAGGTGTCACAAACAATGATAAAGGTATTTAAAATTGCTTGTGGGGGAAACAATGTTGAAAAGAAGTATGCATTTCATCACTTTTTTCATCACTTTATTTCTGCCATAAGAAGAGATTGCACTGTTTTTCCTCTTATCTGAAAGGAATAATCTAAAGCAAACTGAAGGCAGTTTAATTTTCTCCTTTGCACAGGGCAATATCTCAAATAGTAACTGTATGTCAACACACAACAGTGTTTTCTGTTTGTTTTTAAAGATGGTGAGCCAAGTGAATCTTAAACTATATTTTCAACTTCCAGAGAAAATCTCAGAGTTTTTCTTCACCGTTTACCTTCATATATATATTTTATTATGCTAAAGTTATTTTTGTGGTTTATTGCAACCTTTACAATAATATTACACATTTTCAGACTGTTTTATGTAATTCTTCATAGTTTTTTATGTTACTAAATCTTATGTTCAAGATTTCCTTTTTTTTATGGTAGCAGGTATTAGTATCCCATACTTCCCTAGTTTTGTTTTACACAAATACATTGGATAATCTAATTCTCTGTCTAGAGATTAAAATGGCATTTTCTGTGTTCTTGACCATTTCCTCCTACAAAATTTTGGATTTTAAGTTCAGAGCTCAGCTTACGGACTATGAAGAAATTATAAGAATTAAAATTTAATAGTGTTTAAAGTATTCCAAAACAGAGGGTCAGTCAGAGTTAAATTTAAAGAGCACAAAGCCTTCCTTAATGCAGCTTCCTATTGACACAGGGGTATACAAGAGAGATAAGAAAAATAAAAAATGAGTACTTACAAATTAGTTCAATCTGAAGTCTTACCTACTTAAATAATTGCCTTTTATTTCTGGACTCAATAAATGGTTCCACTGCAGAGTAGAGGTTACATCAGTGACCTATAATACTTGGTCTCTCTGTAGAGAAGTTTCATACGTAAATTTGATAAAGAAAATTCAATTTAGCTAAAACTTGAAAATTAACATGACATGAGAAGTAAATGTGCACATGGTAATACGTAAAATAATATTTCTAAGAATATTGATGAAATAATACTATTTTTTTCATGCTTCCTTGGAACTGATTTACAGATCTGGGAATAGTTCTGTGCTAAGCTGTCCAAAACTAAGCTAGACAGCTATTGAACTCCTCCTAGCCTGTGATTGCTTCAAGGTTACTTAAGTCATTTAGTAACAATAACGTGTAAAGATAGGAAGAACACAGCTGTCAAATAGTAAGTTGAAGATTCGTACTCCTATGGAGCTAAAGAAACAATCATATTTTCCCAAGGTGGTGGATACTCAATTACAATTGCTGCTAGTTTTCTCATGTTGGGGTTGATGTGTTGTGTTTTTTTGGTATCTTGGTTACACAGCCCATTCACCATCAGAAAAAACATAGTCGTTGAACCAGCAAAATGGTAATATAATAAAATATCTGTAAATTAGTAGATTTTGGAAACAGCTGTATGATTCTGCTTCTCAAAATGGCACCAAGAGGGGAACATCTTGACAGTGACAATATGAAGCTGAAGTAGCAAAATAGTTTTTGTAGTGTATGTCTGTATAGTAATTACACTTTTGCAGGTAATCATTTGTTAATGATACTTCAGTCTTATTCAAGAATATTTGTTTTGCCAGTTGTAAGATGTAATCAGTATAGGGCATTAATATATATTTTTTTTGTTTCAATTTAAGTTATATTTGTTTCCCCAGAGACCTGATCATGTTGGATTTACACTGTATAAAGCAATGGCACAATTTGAGTTTCCTAATTTGATACTTTCGTTCATATCGTAGCAGTGCAAAAAAACCTCCCACATTTTTGTCTGAGTGTCTCACCCTATATGTCATCTTATAATCTGAGATGGTCAGGGCAGATACTAATTTATTGCCTTGAGCACCCTGAACTGTGACTCAGATGCTTTAAACACAAACAGATACAACGGTTTCTCACAGTTCTACTATCCTGTGTTAAAAGAGCCTGAATCACTGCCGTGAAGAGTTCTCCCAAAACTTTCACAGTATTCTTTTATTGGTATCAGTGTTTTTAGTTTCAAATCCTTTTTCTCCTGATCAGCTTTCAATCTTATTTAGTATTTGCTGTTTTCTTGGGAATTATTTTAATGCTTACTTCTGAGACCTATTAGAAAATTAGTTTTCTTGATGCTTGCTCCTACTTCAGGCATCAAAACCTGGTGAATTTTCTTAGTGTAAGGCTAAGCTTGCGTTTCAGGCAGTTTTAGTGTGTGAGTGTGTGTATATGTAAGTAAACACAGTACAGTGAAAGCTTGATTGAGCTCAGTTACTATTATAAAAATAAATTTGTTTATATACTCACAATCCAATTCTATTTTCCTTTACCATGATGACAATTGAATGTAAATATTATTTTTCTTTGTCAACCTAGGGTCTAGTAAAAATGTGTATTGTGCTAATAATTTTCTAACAGTGGAAGAAATAGATGTTTGGGCTCTGACTATTTCATGGAAATGTGTTTGTTTATGAGGAATGCACAATTATTTTTTTTGGTTTGTTTTTTTTTCTTCCTGAAAACAGGAAACCTGAGGAAATATTTACTTAGCTGGTAGGTTCAAGTGTGTTTTGAGCAAAAAAATCTTTACTTTATGCTTTTCCCTGGGCTGTCTTCTCACCTTGTTAAGGTTTTCTGTGCATTTATTTTTCGTCCTCCATCTACTAATACGTCTGCTGCAATAGCAGAATGAGAAATCTCTCTGCTGACTGTGCCTCATATGTCTCTGTTTTGGGTAAAAGCTGCTCTTGTTTCAGGGTTCTGGTTCCATTAAGGAGCTTAATTATTTATTGCATTTCTTCCTGAATACAGGCACACTGCAACACAAGGTTTAACCCAGCTCATATTATTATACTTGCTCTGCCGAGGTCACAGAAGTATAATATTGCTCTTTCCAGGTTCTCTATAAACAAAAACATGATGCTGAGAAAGGAACTTCAGATTATGCACATATGAAAGAGCCTCCAGATATTAAGCATGCAATGGAAGTCAATAAATACCAGAGTGAAGTAAGTGCTTCCCCATCTGAAATTACTTCAGTTGTTTTGGGTAGATATTATAGCTAAATGTAATGAAAGGGGCATGGAATATTTTAATATTTCATTAATTGGTATTTTTTTACATTATTTGCTCTGAAGTAATTTGGGACATGATTAGTGCTTAGAATGTACTATGAGTAATGGTGTGTGACTTTTATTCTAAACTGCATTGGACAGTTTTGGTATTTAGTTTATTAGTAGTAATTGTTATTAAGTGCTATCAGTTTGAAATGAAGTAACAAAGGTTTTTTGAATTAATGTGTAGTTACTTGTGCTTTAAAGGTATATAAAGCTCTTTGTTTACATGAGGACCAGCATGGTTTCAGTGTCTTCCACTATCGACATTTGGGCAGTTCTTCAGGGCTTCTATTTAGAGGAGAGAAGGAGGCTGTTTTTGCCCTGCTTTCTCATACTTTTATGAACATGAATAATTTCCCATCTCATAAGTACATATCAAAAGAGTTCTAAAGAACAATTTTTGTCTTATTTTACAGGATCTGAGCCATAAATTTCATGCCTGGCATTACTTTTTGCCATTGATCAAAGTATTTATTCTTGTAGTTTTGCTTAAATAATTTATTATTAAAGTTACTGCCTTTTTTTTTTTTGCCCCCCCCCCTTTTTTTTTTTTTTCTTTTTTTTCCAGCTGCTTCTTAACTTTCTTGAAGTTCTTTCACAATATAAAAGCTTAGTAACAGATTTACATTTTTTACTAGTTTCAAGTCAGGTTTGATTTCATGGTTGAGCTAGCTTATACTAACTCAATGCACCCTTGCTAGGGGTAGAAATATTACCAAGATTAATTTCTTGAATTATGCAAACACGAGTTTGAAGAAGAATGTCTCAGGTTTTGTAAAAGCTCATTTATGAGAAAAGTAAATTCTAGGGGAAGACTGGCTAAAATAGTAAGGTAATTTTAAAGGGTACACAACACCAGTAAGAGCAGCTGACATGTAAGTACCTTTAAAGCTATGATTCTTAGGTAAGCAAGTCAAGCTGGGTAGGTATGTGGTTTTATAACTGTTTTCTCTGGTAAATGGCATATTTGTTTGCTGCTAACAATGCCAAAAAAGAAGCTGGGGTGTTTATTTTGAATTAACTTAAATTTACCCTATCTTCCCTACTGACAGTGTAACAAACACTCTTAGGTTATGTAGGCTGAAAGCTAAATGTCAGTGTTAGATGTATGTCCATGTGTGCAGAATCTTGACAGCTGGCCGCTGATTAAAAGGCTGCTGGAAAACTTCAGGGAAGCATTATGTTTGAAGGATAACTTTTTCTTCTGCTGGGAAATACCTGCACTGGAACTCCCAGCAGTAATTTGCAACCTGCCTTGATTACAGAATTCCCTCTTCCTGTCAAACTCCATCCATCTGCTGTTGGAAGCATCAGGATGTCAGACTAACAGAGGGTAGGAGCTGGAAATGCAAACTTCTCTCCCCATAAGCAAGAAGTGTATTTATCTAGCAGTAGGAATGATGGTGGACTGCTAGGGAAGGAAATAATGTTGGGACAAGAGATGGGAGTCCCTCTCAGAGAAGGTGGTGGGACCAGGAGGAATACGAGATGAGTCCTTGAATCAAATTCATCATGGCTTGAGGATTAGCGTGCTGGTGCAAATTCATTCCCCTTCTACAGCTGTACATCACCTGCTAACAGAATTAAGGAAAGCAGGGTACAGATGTGAGTAAATGAAGTTCAGTTGTTTCATCTTTCACCCATAAAGCAAGCAAGAAAAAAAAAAAAAAGGAAATGAAGGCAAATAAAGGAGGGAAGGATGTTGTGATAAATGAGAACTTTTAACAGCATGTTAAAAATAATGAAAAAATATGAAGGAAATTATTTTCAGCCTGAGCAAGCTTCAAAAAAATCAAAGAAACCCTCCGTATCCAACAGAAAACTCTAACAGGGAGTTCATCTGTTTAAGATCAGATTCTTTCTGGTTGCTTATGGGGAACTACAGTGCAATGGGATGTATCTTTATTGGGCATAAAGGAGCCTGTTATCTAAGTCCAGTTATTGTTCAGCAGAGTTACACAGCTCCTGCGGGTAATTGTTTGGGCACCATGGTGATATCTGTGGATTTCTTGTTTAGTAAGTACAGGTTTAATTAGGACCCACGTGAGTTTTCATCTTTGATTCAGAACATGGAGTAGCAAGCATCCCAAACGTGGAACACTATTCTTTCTGAACTATTTCAAGCTATTTGCAGAATCACAGATTTGAAAATGCAGGGAAAAAGGAGGGAAACTACAGGGAGAATAGAAGGACAAAGCTCTTTTATCCACCACTCAGTACAGTGTACCTATGGGAGCAGAATGCCAGTTTACCTACAATGCTCTGCCAACTCAATTCAACCTTTACATGCAGAGTTTGCATCTAATAGGATTAGGATGTATTTGAGACTATTTACTCAGCCTTAAAATAAGGCTGACATTTATACTCAACTCTGTGAAATGTGAAATTTCCTTAAAAAATTAAGACTGTATTCAACTTACAATACGTTTGTGCTGACATTTGGAAACTGTCATGTACTGTAGGCCTTCACACCACTTTGAATATCATTAATGTGCTGGATAAGCGTGGGCTGAAGCTGCATAATAGGAAAGTACTGTAAAATCTCCTGAACAATGTGATCATGTGTAAGAAAAACATTTTTCTCTTCTTCATACTTAAGACTGAAGAAAATTGCTCTCAAAAGAACAAAAGTGACTTTTAAAATGATAGAGTATTTACTTGAACAACAATTTAAATACTGCATAATACTTGAACAAATGCATGCTTATCCAAACCAGAGTACTTTTCTCTAAATGTTTTTGTGTTAATTCTGTGACTTTGGCATTCAAAGGCATTTGGAGAAAGTGGAGTAGGGACCATCAGCCTACTTTATGCCCCTGCTTGGCTGGTGTCATTAGCTCATCTGGAAGTTTCCAAACTTGGGAATAAAATTGGGTGGTGCTTCTTAGAAAGACAACAGGTCGCAAAATAGTGGTTTGCCTTATGTGTAGCTGAGGATCAAATGGACAGAAGAAAGTAATTGAACAGTGAAATATCATGACAATTAAGTTTCTAAAGCTAAGAAAACACTTGTTGCATCATACCTGGGTGTAAAAGCTGCATATGGTGTTTGATGAGCGTACTAAAAGCTATGGATCCCAGTTTTGTCTGGTCCATGGCCTGGCCTGTCACTGGGCATTATGAATAGCAAAACAGTGTTAAGTATTTATATGCAATTTATATGCAATTTATATGTTCTGCTTGGTTAAAATTAGTGATTCTTCTCACACCATTACATTGTATGAAATAAGGAAGTGGTGTTCCAAATTTACAAATAAGAAAACTACAATAAACTAAAGGTGGACATTTAAAAGGCAGTTTGCAGATCTGAGGTTACAGCCCTGGTATCCTTTCTCTTAGGCTTATGTATGAAGCAGTGCTGCTTGATTGTTGAGCAAACTTGGTGTGTCTGTATTCTTTTTGCAGTGGTAATTTACGATGTTTCACTGACCATCTAAATTTGAATATTTAAGAAGTCTATATTGCCTTAGGAGTAACCTTTTTTTGTGTGTGTGTGTTCAGGATATTGTGCAGCCACAATTAATGCAAAATCCATTTACATTCTTTCTGATAAGACCAAATCAGCAGATCTTAAACATGATGTGATTAAACACCATCAATAACATACCAAAATGTCGGTGTTTGTTTGATGCAGATTATGTTGAAGTGAAGCTTCTCCTGGCTTTCTGTTCAGCATCACCATTAGAAAAATCACCTTCTGCTGACTAACTTTCTGCTGACAGTGGTTGTCAACAGCAGCTCCCCCTGGACCACTTCCAACCCGTGTTGAAAATGATGTGTTTACTCCTGATGTAATTGGGACCAATCAATTTTCAAGCCCATTACTGGAAAGGATGACTGCATCAATCTGTAATGGGCCAGAAATGTGTTTGTCTCTTCTACATGAGCCGGGAAACAGTTTTCAACACCATTTGAGTGGGGATCAGAAGAGCTGTTGGCAATGGTGATTGTCACCAGCTAGTCATTTTCTTAGTGTTGATGGACCCCAAGTGCAGATGAGAGAAAAGGGGGCAGAGACACAGCTGACAGGCCATTAGTTAGTGGACTTGCAGGTCTTAGAAAATACTAAGCAGGGATGAACAATAAGAGACAAATTGTCTTGCAGATGGGTGTGCCCAGCTCCTTGCTGACGTCTGTATGTGCATCTCAAGAGAGAAAAATGTGTTCATAGCTACTTGTGCATATTTTAATAATTTATTACCTATAGCTTGGAATAATTTCGAAATTGGAATAGCGGAGAAGAGAAAAGACTGAAGAAAGGTCTGAGTCATTTAAACCTAGGTATGCTTGGGTCACCATGTAGTGGAAGTTTCCATTTGTTGATTGACAACCTGAGGTGTTTTTTAGCCTTGTTAGAAATCTGTTTACTTTGCAGCACTGTCATACATTCCAATGCACTGGCTCTGCCATGACAGGTGAAGCATCTTTAGGACCCTCAGCTGGAGTAAATAGATGAGCATGTTTATTCTCATTGGACCCTATGCCTTTTCATAAGAGCTGAAGGTTTGGCCCTTTTACAATTAGTTTACTAACTATGAGCAAGCCTTGAATATTTCCAATGCTTTGCAGAAACTACTGGCAAGTCAGAGAAAGTAATCACATTTGGGATTAAAGATGAGAAATAGCTTTTCTTCAGATTATCACAGTTAAAAAAAAATATTCAACAATGTAATCAGTTTTTAATGTTATTTCAAATAAAGGTAGAAAATCACTTGAAATTTAGTTGGTATTTGTAATTTTCTATTTGTTGCTCCAAAACTAGAGATAGTAAATTTTTTTTCACCTTTTGGTCCCAGCTTCTTTCTTGCTGACATTTCCCACTGGCCTGCTCTAACTCTGCATTTACACTGCTGCTCTTGTCAGTACTCAGGTACGTTTTCCTATGCAAAAGCCTGTTTGTGCAGATCTTTTGTAGGCCTGTGGTCCTCATAAAAAGGATTAATTCTTGAGCCTTTGTTGATGTTTTTAGTAGAGTCTGAGCAACCCTTTGAACTGAAGATTGAATAAGGGCATCGTGTAATGCCTGGAGGTTCCAGTCAGGGTTTGAGCCTTTTGGTAAGAAGCTGAACCAACTCAGAAGAAAATATGTCCCATTCCCTGGGTGCTTCTGCTGTTTTCTTTCGTTTCTTGACCAGGCTTTGCTTTCCCAGCTGTCCTCTGGTAGGCTTCTCCACTTCCCATCTTCTCGGTGCCCATGGATGCATATGCACCGAGCTTGTTGCTTGGCCCTGTCTGCATCTGTTCTCCTGCACTCCTGGAATAGCTCTGGTTTTACTCTTCTAACATAGCACTATATAAAAAAATAAATTTCAAAAATCGCTAGATGGAACAGAATAGCAGCTGTGTAATGGAGGCCAGCACAGTGTCCCAATGGGAAAGGGTCAGCATCCAGGGATTGAGGTTATTCAGGAAATGGGAAACATATTTTTTCTTCTCTTTGGCCTACCTCTGACAAACTACTGTTCTGCTGCATAACATTTTTATTCTCAGCAGAGTATGACAAGCCGCAGAATGGAGCAAATATATATTGCACACATTTGTAAAATGCTAGATGACTTTCCCTCAGACATAAGTAATAGGTATACTAGTTTAGGTGCAGGACGAATAATAATTCACTCAGGGAAAGCTATAGCAATTGGCCTTGCATCTAATATAATTGAAAATGGTGAAATATAAAGGACTGTCACTGTCTTATTGCCCCCTCCTTTCCCCCTTGAAATTAACCACAATCCATTATTTCGTGTACTATATGGTCATGTCATTTGGGAGCAATAAGTGACCACATTTCTTCAACTTTATCACCACTGTTCTTGATTCTCTGTTGCTAAATCCACTCCATTCCTAATTTCTATTTTGAGCACATATGCCGGCCTTTAATTTGCAATTTACATGGATGATAGGGTGCTATTCAGAAACCTGTTTCTGCTGCCTTTGTGGTTTTCACCTCACCTCATGTGGTCATTAGGATGAACAGCATATAATTAGCTAAATTCATGTAAAGCCTTGAATTGAAAATGCTTATCTGTACATCCAGTTTCCTAATAAAACAGAGGAAATCTAAACCTCACCAAAGCCTATCTTTGAGTGGTTTTAACAAGCTGTAAGAAACAGTTTCTATTTTCTTGGTGGGTTATACTTTGGACTGTATTAATACATCCTATGTACTTATTTATTTATTTATTTTAGAAGTAGTTACACTTGTGTGTCACGCATTGTAGGTGAAAAATTGTAACATCTATTTTTGGGCAAGTGGCCAACAGTGAAGCTTATTTAGCCTGTCTATTTAGCTGAAGCCATATGGACATAAAATTACTTTCCTATTGCCTGTAACATTAAAAAAGTTTTTTTTCCTTTCTTTCTACAATAACATTTCTATAAATTCTGGTTGCTGTTGTGTGCTGCAGTTTATGAGTTTATTGCATTGTACCCCAAGTAAAACTTTTCATTGGACATGGGAGCTAGATCCAGGGGTTATAAGTGAATCTTCAAGCTCAGGACTTTCTTGGTGAAATACAAATTTCATATGGTGAAATACAACCTTGAGAACTTGATTAACTTCATTAAACAACAGAAGAAAATCTAAAAGACTATCCAGTAAAGCAGGAAATAATGAGATACTTTCCATTTCCTGTAGACTTTTATTTTATGTTGTTTAACTTTTGCCTGAAACTTCAGTTTGTCAGACACTTTTGAATACCGGGGACAATTTTCTTAATAATTCAGAATCATTCACTTTGACAGCTCTTGGAAATCGGCTTCGATTTGCACATGTGCTACAGCAAGGGAGAGGAAAAAGTATGCAGACCTGGAAGAGGGAGAAGAAAGATAACTTGTAGTCTCGGAGCTCTGTAACGTCCCCGAGGTCTAGGCTGTTCCTGTGATTGCTTTGCTAAGTGGAGAATGTTTGGACTCTCCTACCTGTGGTTTAGCTTTCTGGCCAGTTTTCTGAGCTCATTTATTATAGTAGTGGCTTTTGCACAAACAGAAGGATTCAGGCTTATACTCCACATGCTGGAACACTCAGCTTGCTTGTTCCCATGATTTTGTAAAGGAGCAGATAAGTGGAGTTGTGGGGAGTGGGGGATGCTGGGGTGGAGCTGTGTCATTGAGTTACATACCAGCTAGGCGGCTGCCTATTACTGAGGGGGATGTTCACCGTGGTAGAGTTACAGTTTCTGTTCGGTGTTGCTGCAGCCTGCTAGGCTGCTCAGTATCATAGGGCGGTTACTATCTCTTAAAAAAAAAAAAAGAAGCGGTGTAGAAAAATTGATGCACTCTAAGAAGACCTCTGAAATTTGATGATCAAACATAATATTTGGCTATTTCCAGTACTTTCATTTTTTACTACTGTCCTAAGCAAAACAATTTTTCATTTTAATATTGTCTTTTATGCTTCTGAGTTTCTTCCTTATGCTGTTAACCTGTGTGTGGGTCTTACTAAATAATCCCTGTCAAACAGGACTGTGTTGGAATAAATTAGGCAGAGTTCTATTGAATTTGATGGTTCTGTTGATAGGTCATTCAAAGATTATTTATAAGCTTCAGTTGTTTGTGTTTGTTTGTTTTAAACAAAACTCTTTTTTGTTTGACAGGTATCCTATAAGAAGGATGTGCAAGATACTCACAGATACACTGAAGTGCTGAACAGGCCAGACATAAAGATAGCAACTGAGATAACAAAGATAATAAGTGATGTATGTTCTCCTGTTACTCTATTTGTATTTTTTTTGACATGTTATTTTATTTATTCCAGTTTCAGCCTAAAAATTTAGAATGCTGCTGAATTTCTCAAAGTGATGAGCAGAAAAGCAGCAACCCCAAATCTGATATGGAGGATTGATTAAAAAACCAAACTCCAACAAAACAAACACATCCCTAAGCCCCTTGCTTGGTATGCATACATTGTTCTATTTTGGTGTGACATATCCTCTTTGCAATTATTGGTCATTGATCAAAAGACAACGTGGAGCTTCCTAAAGCTGGTTTTGTTTCAGCTTTATTCATGATAACCATTCTCAAAATAAAGCATATGCTCATATGTTATACTACACTCCGGAAGACATACCGAGCTTTTTTTCACTTCAGTACGAGTGAAGCTGGAATCCGAGGACTGCCCTTCCTCCTCCGGTCTCGTCTGGCAGCGACTGGGAAATGCAATTCCCCGCTGTCCTGAGAGCTGAGCAAACACGGTGCTCCTTGCATGAGGGCTCTCCTCCCCGAACTCCCCTCTCAAATTCTTTTCCCTCCTACCGTGACATCTGCTAATGGATAGGTCAAGGAGCAGTTGGAGAAGCGGCACTGTGTGATGCAGTTTAATATTTTATCGTAGACAACTCCAACAATCTATCTATTAAAAGCCCCGAGTCAAGATTTTAAGTATCTGCTAATAGTTTCATGTGAGACTGACCAGGCATCTATGGACAGGCAGTTTAAAGAGACCTGAGACTCCCCTTTTGAATATTCAGGATTTTCTGAAAAGCAAGAACTTCTACGAAGTCTTATGTGTAACACCTACATTTGCTAACTGCTGCTCAAGTCCTCTTTGAGTTGGAGTGGCTTTGGGACTTCTGTTTTCCTCAGTCTGTTGTTATGCTGTGTCTTTACTGATTCACAGCCCCTGGGTAATGCAAGCAGCCTGTTTTAGGCAATGGGTAATTTAGTTTGTGATACCGCAAAGCACCTATTGTCAGTTCATCTGTGTTGTTTTCTAATGCATTGAGGAAAATGCAGCAATTTGCATGGGAGGCAATTCAGCTGGAAAGATCAAGTAACACCAGCCCTGTGGGACTAATGCCGCTCTGTTACACCAGTGCAACCTCGCTGACATCCAGCAAGATTGCAGTGGTAAAACTGGGGGTGGAATTTGACCTTAGGTTTCAAAAAAGTTGCCCCTCAGCCTAGTTTCTTCAGCTGCTACAAATGTTCTTGTATAAACTGCAGACTCTGTCCTAAGAAATGCTGAGCCACTCTTTAAGTCATTCTTCCTTGATAGGGAAAACAGTATTTCTCAGGCTTGAACTATGCATTTGGTTAAAGTTGAATTTTGTGGATGCTGTGCATTGTGTTTTACAGTAAATAAACACTATGTTGTTAGGGAGCTGAAGCCTGAGAAAGCCTTCTTCTGGAGCTGTTTAGAACAGCTCTGAAAGTCGTGTCAATGCAGATCACTAAATGAGACTTTTTTACTTGCTTTAATGCTTATAGATTTCGATACTTTTAATGCTTATTTGATACATTTTAATGCTTATATGTTTTGATTAAAAAAACCCAAACAATGTATTAGTTATTCATATTATTTATTTCTTTTTTAAGGCTGAGTACAAGAAAGGAAGGGGAGATATGAATAAGGAGCCTGCTGTACTTGGAAGACCAGATTTTGAACATGCTAAAGGAGTTTCAAAACTGTTAAGCCAAGTAAGATTCTCTGTCATTTGGCAATGACTTCATTCAGGTATCTCATTCCTCATAATGCAAGAAAATATTTAAATTTTTAGGTTATTATTGCTAATCGCATGAAGCTCAGGTTCTCAAACTCTTTTTGTGTAGTATTGCAATGATTGATAAATCTAAGATTCTTATAAAAAAACACAGAATACATTTGAATGCAAAAATACAATGAACTCGGACTGTTACAACTCATCTTTTGTAGAAATATTGTATATTTATATAGAATCATAGAAACATCAAGGATGAAAAAGGCCTTCAAAGATCATAAAGTCCAACCGTCTGCCCTACAACCCCTAACCACTAAACCATCTCCTGAAACACCATGTCTACCCATTTTTTTAACACCTCCAGGAACGGTGCCTTCAACACCTTTCGGGGCAGCCTGTGCCACTGCCTCACCACTCTTTTTGTGAATAATTTTTTCCTGACATCCAATCTGAACCTCCCCTGGCACAACTTGACCCCATTTCCTCTTGTCCTACCACTGGTCGCTACAGAGAAGAGACCAACAGCCATCTCATCACAGCCTCCTCTCAGGTAGTTGTAGAGAGCAATGAGGTCTCTCCTCAGCCTCCTCTTCTCCAGGCTGAACAGCCCCAGCTCCCTCAGCCTCTCATCCTAAGACCTGTTCTCCAGAGCCCTAATCAACCCAGGAGCCCTTCTCTGCACCCTCTGCAGTGCCTCAATGTCCTTCCTTTACTGCAGTGCCCAAAACTTACCAAGTTTGCCTCACCAAGGCTGAGTAGAGGGGCAGGATCACCTCCCCGGTCCTGCTGGCCACACTATTCCTGATGCAGGTCAGGATGGTGTTGGCCTTCTTGGCCACCCGGGCACACTGCCAGCTGATGATCAGGCAGCTGTCGATCAGCACCCCCAGGTCCCTCTCTGCTGGGCAGCTCTCCAGCCACTCCTCCCCAAGCCTGTAGAACTGCTGGGGGTTGTTGTGGCCAAAGTGCTGGACCGGACATTTGGCCTTATTGAAACTCATGCCAGTGGCCTCAGCCCATCGGTCAAGCCTGTCCAGATCCCTTCTGCAGAGCTTCCTTGCCCTCAAGCAGGTCGACATTGCCACCCAACTTTGTGTCGTCTGCAATATAGGTTGTCTAGGATTTCTAAAATATTAGCTGCATTTAATTTAGAGACAAATTTTGCTGCTCATTCAGTTTGAGAACTTTACCCTGTGATTAAGCTCACTGAAGTCACTCAGGTCTTTTGTGTAACTGCTTGCTAATGTGAGTAATGGGATCTGAATTTGGCCTGATGTGTAAACCACCCTCTTTCCCTCGCCCTGAAACGGAACCTTTTATGTACTATTTTCTGTGTATATTAGACTCAAAAAAAGAAAAGAAAAAATAAAGGAAAGAAGAAAAATTTGAGGATTCTTAATATGTAATTAAACAGCTGAAAACACAGATATTCCCTCTTTTCCTCATAAGAGTCTTCTACTCTTAATACTTTAGTATTTTATTTTTCTAGAGTAGTTCTTTCATAGTTCCTCACATAATCCTCACTAGTAATCTTGTCAGGCTACCCTTAGAGCTTTTGTAAACCCAGAAACAAATTCTGCCCTCCTGTAGGAGAAGAATAACACCATTTGATTGGAGAAGGCAAAGTCAGTCTTTCCACAACTAGAAAAAAACCCCCAAGTGTAGTAGTGTCTACACTAGAACAATCTGAAAATCATTGTTGTGTAACAAATATTTGTCATTTGGCTAGGTAGTGAACATCTCCCCTAGAACTAGGACAAATGAGAATAATCTGTAACCGAGAACAAGCTGCAAAACAGTGCAGTGTCTGTTTGCAAGACATTGAGTCACCAAATGTCCTTGGATATCTGCTACATGATTTCCTGTTTCATACTGGACCATCATTAACTTTGAAGCATTAATACTGTGCAAAGGGAAAAAGTGTAAAATACGTGTGTTTTTTAATTGTTTTGTTAGTGACGTGTTTGGAATAAAAATTAGCTCGTGTTTTCCACATAGAAAATGGGCAAGTCTGCTAAGAGGTTGTTAGTTTTGCAGGCTTGGAAGTCAACCTGTTCTTTTGAGGAAGACCCAGTGCTGTGCTAACTATGCTACTCTGTGCCACTTATAGGAAAGGGAGCTGTCTGTCATTTAGCAAACATCTTTAGTGGTTTTTAAAAGGGTTAATTTCTACATTTATTGTGTGGCATCCTTTATTTTTACCCAGGGGCTGTCTGCATGCTCCTTTTGTGGCAGCCTATTTCAGAATCTAGTGGACGTGCAGCTGTCTCTCATCATAAATGGGACAAAAGCAGATCCCTTTCTGATAGCCCTCTCCATCTCACTAAGCCTGGTACCCTTGAGGTTGTGGCCAACAGTCACAACAGTCAATACACACCAGCTGGATCATGAGGTCCTGCAGGCTGGTACTGAGCCAGCTGCATCATAGGCTTCATCAATGCACTTTTTATCTCATTTTTATTAGATGTGCTTTTCCTCTTGGACAATGCATGCTGCATCTGCAAAAGCTTTGTAATAGAGTCTCTTCACTGCCCTGGACTGGGATGGCAGCAGTTGCAGTTGAGATCCTTTTGCAGAAGAGACCATTTGGTGTGCAATTTTAATTTCTTTAGAGAGTCCAAAAAGTGCAGAAGGTGTGGCAGGAAGAGATGAGCAGTTGACTAAATGTAGCTTGCTTACAATTTACCTATAAAGAAGATTCTTACTAAACCTTACTGCTCCTGACTCTGCAGCTGCTGGGCCTGGACCCCAATTTTTGGGATCCTTCCTTCTCTTATTCTCTTCTCAGTCTACACTGTTGTGGCTGTTGGCAGAGTGTGTGATGGGCCAGGTACCTTCGAGCAAGGGAGGCTGACGCTGTGCTGCCAGCTGCCTGCCTGCCTGCAGCAGCATGGAGCCTGCCAATACTAGGCTGCTTCCAGCAGTGAGGAGGTGTGCTCAGCAATTCCCCACCTCCTCTGAAGGAAGGACAGCGGCCATGAGTTGTCTAATGTTTTTATATATCATTTGACTCATTATAACACTTAGACACACTGATCATAAATCAAGAGCACAGAATAATGAAGATGACCCCTGTGTCCAAAGAGCAGGGTGGTGGGGCAGGATGAGGAATGCACCTGTGCTGTAGGAGAGGAACAGCCCTCAGTGTGGGTCAGTCATGTCAGTCCTCTTCACGCAGGGATCGTAAAGCAGGCTTGTAACAATTACAAGATTTAAAAAATAGTAAAGTTAATGATCTCTTTATTGTCTCCAGACTTTCTGGCTTTTAGGGTTTCCATTTGTTTCTCAGCAACTGGGAGCATTATGAACTTTTTGTGCTGAAAGTTGATAATCTCCCTTAATAGCATGAATCTGTAAGCTGCGACATGCAGTAAAATATTAGTTATTTGACCCTCACAGTAAATTTGCAAAGTTGACAATTCTGATGAATGTAATGGGAAGAGAAGATGATAACATGTTTTAATGTGGTGCATATGGGTAGGTAATTTAGGGAGTATAGAGAATAGGAGCAAGAAGAGGTCAAGCAGTGTGGGTGTAGTGAAGGGAGAAAGCAATCAAGGCAAGCAGGAAGGCAAACAAAGTGAAGAAAATAGTGTTAATGTTTGACTGGCACTCAAGGCTCTAGAAAATCAGTGTACCCTCTTTTTAATTTTTATTTTTTTTAAATTTATTTAACAAAGCTTTTGACAACAGCCAAACTAATAGCTCCCAGGACTAGTATATTTACTCACAGCATGTGGTAACCCCTTTCCCTTGATTTTAAACCACATTTAAGGGAGAAACTGTGTTAACCCATGTGAAAACATCAAGCTTGTCAATTTGCTGAATATACTTTGTATAATTTTAGTTATTTTTCATATCTTTTTTTTTAAAAACAAACTCTTATTTATATCTTTTTTATGTCTTCTAGTACATTTTACTAGCTTTTTCAAAGAGCTGCTAATACGAAGTATTCCCCTTATAGTGTTTAGGAATTGGGTTTATGATGAATAATTTTGGGTATTTCTATTTTATGCTGGATCTGGTGCTTATTGTTTCAGGGATAAAACTGTTAGAGGTAGAATGTTTTTCAAAATGTACCTTCTTTGAGATTATCAGTAAAAACACAAAAAGCCTAGGATTTTCTCAGTCTTTCTTTGCTTTGAATTGTACCAGTGCTTTTAACAACCAATATTTTAATTTAGCTCTTTGTTTATGTGGAATTTCCTTCAGTATCTTATGTGCTCTTGACGGATTTTAAATTTCTTTATTATGCTTTCATATAGTCATGAGGAAATGCTTTAGCTGCAAGAGTCTGCTTCATCCTGGGATCCTAGTGGTTGAATGATTCAGTTTTTGTAGTTTCTTTGTAAATCTGAACAGTGGGTGATGTCATCCACTTCTGAAACTGAACACTCCCTGTGTGAACAGCTTTGAACTACAAATTTGATTTAGGAATGTTACTGCAAAACTTCAAAAGACACTGCTCTGTCCAGCTGCAATTCTGACTTTTATAGGTTTTGTGCAAGGCTCATGAGAAGTTTGTTTATCCAGACCTTGTTTAACTCCAGTTTGGTTTTTCAATGATGTTGTGTTAAAAGCCTGCAAAGTCTGCTTTTTCTTCAGCAGCAATAGTAGAGTAGCCTACAAGCAAATTAACCCCCAATAAATACTCTCTAAAAAAATAAACAAACTTAAGACTTTAATTAAAATGGTAAATAAATAGCCATAGTTTTAAACCCTCATTAAGGTAAAGCTTTTGGTTAACAATGAAATTTGTGGGTAAGCTTCCACTAGCAATTGTCACTTCTACTCCCACTTTTTGTTTGCTCTATTACTGTGTCATAACATCGCTAAGATTCCCTTCTTTAGGTGTTTTCTAAAACACTGATGGAAGTATTTTTCTTCCTTGGTTTTAATCAGAACCCTTTCTCCTGTTCAAAAGAACGGTAAATACTGTGTGCTTTACTTCACAGTGACTCATCCATGGGCTTGCTCTTCTCTCTTCTCCCTCTCCCATCCCACGCTTTCTTTCAAAAGAGAGAAGGAAAGAGCGATAAAAAAGAAAGTGTGTGTGTGTGTGTGTGTGTGTGTGTGTAGCTTTCAATGAGATGAATCCCCTATGACAAGTCAGAGTTAAATTACTGCTGGAAGTGCTCTTGAGATACCGCTGGGGTCATCTGATATTATTGTGTGGCCTCCGTTTTGCCCCCGAGCGACATGTGCGGTGCTGTGGGAGAGGAGAGCAGAGGCAAAAAGCAGAGCAGGCAGACGAGGCAGCAGGACCTAGAGGTACTGAGACATCCCTCACTGCAAGGGGAATGCTCTCAGTTGGATTGGTGGGCAGTCTCCTTGAATTTGGGACCTTTCTGCACACTGGCATCAGGAGACACAGAAGACTGCCTTCCCCTTCTTCAGAAGCAGTGATGTGAGCCACTGGCACTAACAAGGATTTATTACTGGAATCTCTAGATTGAAATATATTGCTAAAAAAACATTCTGTTAAAAAATTGCATGAAGCAGCTGTATCTGGAAGATGACAAGGCATTTGTGAAGAGAGACCCTTTTGGACTGTCATTTTCACGCTTAACAAGAGTATCAAGGCCCATTTTGTGCATTCAGTTCATGTGCACTTTGAGGCCAGTTGTTAGCTGGGCAGAAGGCAGCCTGCAGTAGCTGGATATTGAAACTCTTCTGCATGGTGTTGTTATGATGTGAGCTGATGCCCAAAAGACAATTTTGCTCACCATGCTGACTTAATCCCTGGTTTTGGAGGCTTTTAAAATAGCATCTTCCAACACTGCCTGATTTTTATTAGAAGGTGAATTCTGGATACACCTTTTAAAAGAGAAATGTCTTCTGATTTATTCCTTCACTGCTCATAGAGAATGTGGATTTGCCTTTGACAAAGGCAGTGCCTTTTTATTCAGATATATGCTTTTGCACTTGATCCAAAGCCAAGGCAAATATCAAACAATATGAACCAGATGAATCTACCAGAAGGCAATAGATATTCTTTTCTAGAGTTAGTATGAAATATTATGAAGTTCAGCATGTGTCCAGATAAAGTTTCTCTTTAAATGTGACAACGTTTTAGAATTTCCGTCCTTTGAAAGATAAACAGAAGTGCTGGAATAGTAATGTAGCTTGACGTACACGATTAGTTCTTGTTTGGGTGCCTTAGTTTTGGTTTCTTCTTATCCTGATTAATGAAATATTGGGCATTGTGGCTAAACATAATGAGGTTGTGTAAGCTAAACCATGTTGAGAGCCTTTGGAGGCAAGGAAAAACTAAAACAGAAAAAGAAATTTCTTCCCACAACTAAAGCTGAGAAAAAAAAAATATTGAAGGAGTTTGTTTGAGGTGGTTTAATCACTTTATCAGACATTCATGTGGGAATAGAGAAAAAAGGAGGAAGGAAAAAACTGCTTATTTATTCAATGCAGAGCATGGTAAATTATAATGGATGTTGCATAGGCTTAGATATCAGGTGTCTAACCAACATTCATGAAAGAAGCATAATTCAGACTGAGCTTTATTCTCCTCTATTCTGTCCAGCTGTTGGAAAGAAGCAAGGCATGTGTGCAGAGTCTCCAGATGTTCGATGATCATGCACAAAAAGGGGGGCAAAGGAGAGAGATTGACTCTTTGATTTTTTTTATTTATTTCATTTTTCAGATTCTGAATTCAGTTCTTCAGTGTATTTTATGACATTTTTTGTGATTTATTTATTTTAATGCCATTCCCTCAACACATATGTATTGCTTATTTCCTCTTATATGTCTTCTTATTCCCCTCTTTTGAACAAGAAGTAAAGAGAGTGAAAGTGGTGGCATACAGTGATTTAATTATGCTGTCTAACACTGTAATGAGCTGGGCATTGTCCTCAAGAAGGGACTGTACTGCAGAGTGATTCCTGGGACTCTCTTGGGAAATTTCTAGCACAATTAAAAATAGACCCGGGAGCTCTAGTGACAGCTTAGCACAGCATGGGTGACATGTGGACTTGGAGGTGGGAAGATGGCTGAGTGAAAAGTTTGATTCTGACTTCCCACTTTAGAACAGTTGAAAAATTTACAGGTGATTTATTTTGCAAGTTTAATGGCTTATTAATGTTACAGTTTTCATTTTTAAATATTTTTGCTGTTAATTATGAATTGCATGATTCTCGGTAGATTATTGTTGCTAGTAAAACAGTTCTGATTTATTTGATTACTCAGGTGAGTCATATGGTTTTGTTTCTGTTTCCTTTTCGTAAATCCTTCAGCAATAGTAATTGTATGTGACAATATTTTTTTTTTAATCTTTTTTTTAAAATTTAAGTAAAATACAGATACATAAAAATTACTTTGAAACTGGCACAAGGCAATCATAGGTGTGGCTAAGCTGAGCTTCTTTAAACATCTTCATTGTTTAAAGATTTATGAATAAGAAAATTGTCTTTGATAAGTTCCTTTGTAGTCTGTATTCTCTGCGCCTTTCTTAAGTGCTACATATTAATATTAGATATGTTTGTTCTGTTGGAAGGTGAAATACAAAGAGCAGTTCAATAAGGAAATGAAGAGCCACCAGTACAATCCTCTTGACAGTGCTTCCTTCAAGCAAGCACAGATTGCATCCACCTTGGCAAGTGATGTAAGTGTATTTGCTTTGTATCTTACATGCATTTACATCCTGAAAAACCTAGTATTTGTTCTCAAGCAGAATTTATTTTTCCATCTTACAAATTACTCTGAGCAGCAGTCTCTGCTATACAGTATGTTTGTATAGCAAGTACAGCATGTTACCCATTTCTTCCTCTGATTCTGACAAAGCTTTCTCCAAGGGCCTGCAGAGTTTTTCATAACCATTTGATGAGATTAATCTCAAGATGTATGTCAAGAGGTATGACTTCTTACTCTGAGCTGATTGCCTTGTACTTGGTCCCTTTGTTTCTGGGAAAGAAATAGGTCTAGAAGGCAATTCTTCTAACCTGTTGTAGATGCTTGTCTTTAGAAGAGCAAAGTGCTGGCATCTCTTCAGTGGTTGTAGAAAGGGGTTGCCTGAGCAGCTTCGTTTTGGATGTCTGTCTTCTAGACTTAGGTTGATCTTCTGAATGGTAGTACTAGTTACAGCAGTCAGTAAATGCAGCAATGGGTGCCTGCTGCTGGAACCCAATTGGAGAAAACATCTATATTGAGTGATAATGCTGTTGGTATGATGTATTTAACAGTGTGTCTAATGCTAAAAATGTAGCAATGTAAAAAGTGAGCTCTTCTTTGAGGCCATGATCCCAAATAGCCAGAGGGTAGCCTTCATTTGGAAGTATGAGATACACAAATTGTCTACTGTTGATTTAGAGTCTGCCTAAATCAGTGAAGAACATAATACATACGTGGAAGTATAGTTTAAAAGATCTGTCATCCAAGATAGGTAAGGTGACTAGTTTTCTTCCTGTAAAGATGGACATCCAGGTGTCACAAGTATGGAAAATCATACTATAGGTAAATAGGAATTTATCTTCTACTACTTCATTAAGTGATTTTCTTTTGCCTTAAGTGACTATACTGCTTATCTTTGCTGAAAACAATCTGTATTAACGAAAATATCCAGGAGTATTTCCCTTTAGCTATTTTTTATACAAGTCTTTTATTTGGACAGTTAGTTTAATTCCTGAATTAAGAGAAGAAGAGCAAGAATAAAAAGTGTTTAAAATGAGTACACTTGAAGTACTGAAGAAGATACTCTTGATTTAAGTTTTCAGGGCCGGGAGAAAAAATGTAGAATGAATTCTTTGATGTTCCTTTTCCTCCAAACAATAGTAAATGACCACCACCTAGTGGCTGGTAGAGATTGTTCAGGCAAGCACTTAATGCTTTCTGTTTCTGAAAGGCCAAACTGTAATACTAAACTGTGAATTATTTTGTTAATCTTTATTCTGCATCACCTGAATTCTCTTTCCAGGTAAATTACAAGAAAGATTTGGAAAGCCTACATGATCCAGCCTCTGATCTACCAAACCTGCTATATTTAAACCATGCTTTAAATATCAGCAAAACGCACAGTGATGTAAGTTGCTTTTATAATAATAATCTGAAAAATATCTGCAGTGAGGAATGTAGTACCTTCAGTCACTGGAGAACACATACATTTTTGGTACTTGCTTCATGGTCTCATTTATAGTAGACTGTAGTGTAGTAACCATGGTAGCTGGTGGATGTAGTGAAGGAAGAAAAGCTTTTAGGGAGAGATATTTCAGTTATTAAAACAACTAATCTACTGGGTAAGAATCACACGAACCTATCTGAGCATTTCTTATATTTATGAAACCTTCTCTGTTTTTCCCTTTGTTGAAACAAGCTACTTCAGTTTGCCTAAGATCTTACTTACTGCTTTCACCTGCAGTTCTCTGTTCAGAGGTGACCATTATGCTAGTTTCATATTTGGACCTCTGCCATATACAGCCTGTGGAGTGCCACCTTCCTGCAGAGCTTCTCTGTCTAAGCCTTTTGTCTCCTGCTAAAGGTCTGAGGCTTCCTACACTGGATTGGGTAATAGGCACATACTCCATTCTGCCACTTAACAAGACATGGCCCTTGATGGGGCTGGTGGTTTGACATAGGATGGTGATGGGGGTTGAAATGGGGAGGAAGAGATAGGAACCCCCTAGCTTATGTGCAGTGCTGAAGCTTCTCACGTGCTCTGAGAGTACCTCTGCTACATGTGTGGTGCTGGTAGGCTGTTTAGCTGCATGTGACATCTTTACTCCAGCAGCCACAGAAAGGCTGCAGCACTGCCTGTGGAAGCTGGGAGTGGGTGGTGCTGGGAGGAAAGATTGCTCATGGTCAGTGGAAGGTGAGCTCTTCACAGACAAAGGATTAGCCCTAATGACTAGTAGCATAGTGGGTCATCTTTGGAGTCAATGCCTGCTTTTGGAAGCTTATGTCTAAAATAATCAAAATAATCCAGCCTTCCCATCTGTACTTGATTTTTGTGTTGATCTTTGGTGAACTGAAGCTTGCTTTTTGTGTGTCTCACTTCAATATGAGAAGCTGATGCTGACTATCTCCTTTTGTGTGGGTAATAAATGAGTTGATAGCTTTCTTCATGAGCATTTTGGCCTAATTCTAGTTTCCTTCGGTTCAAGGTAAGATTGGCATTCTTTTTGTTGCTTAAATGAACACCCTCAGAGTGAACTTAATTTGCCATCCTCTCTTTAATGAAATAAAAACCTGGGCTTCTCCTTAAGGCTCCTCACTCTTGCAAAATTTATTTCTTTCTGTTGCCTAGGAAGGTTCGATTCATATTGTCCATGCCCTCTTCTGAGGACTCTATAAATACTAAGTCTCTGATTTTTGCATTTGTCCAGATGCTGATGGATATTTTTCTTCCTGTGAGCAGGAAGAGGAACGCTCTGTCAGTCCCCAAGGTCTCCACTAAATATTTTTCATCTACAGAAATCCTGTGTTCAAAATCCTTCTCAGATTTGAACTCCTCATCTCATCTCTTTGATTTTAACATGGCTTATTCTTCTCCCTTTTTCTATGCTTTTCCAGTACCTTCTTTGTGTTCTTCTCTCTGCCTCGCCATGTTTTACCTCCTTGCCACAGTCTTCCTGACTGTGCTGTTAAATGATTTCTGAAGACTGATTGCATGGTCTGTGTTTTACCTCTCAGTTAGCTTCTTGCTAATTTTACAGTTTTGCTGTTTCCTATTAGTATAACTTTCTCCCTTGGACTTGATGCTTCTCTTCATCTTTTGTATAACACAGCTACACCTGCCTCGATGTGATACATCATAACTTAGATAGTTAATTAAACTCATAGAATCATAGAGCCTTTTTGGTTTGAAAAGGCCTATGAGATCACCAAGTCCAACTGTTAAGAAAGCACTGCCAAGTCCGCTGTAAACTTATATGGCTAGTTGCATTGGTTTGCTGATTGACTTAAGAGTGTAGAAGTGTGTGTAACTTTATGAAACACATATACTAGAATACCAATGCAAAGCTGTTATACAAGTATGTTTCTGTGCTAGTAAATTTGAACAGTTAAGAGGAAAGCCTGATGGGCATGTTTGAACACAAATAGGCTGATTTTGTCAGATTGAACTATGCTATTTTCATTATTTCAATGAGTAAAAAGACTTTGAAAGGTGTAACAATCCCCTCATGTGGATACATGCAGTTTGGCATGAACTATGGAGACATAAAATTAAAAAAATTGTTGTAGGTACAACAGCAAGTTTATTGTTTAGTGCACTTAAAATCTCTTCCTGTTGTAGAGAAGTTGAGATGCTAAGGAACTACAGACTAACAAAAAAAAAAAAAGGAACTTAGATATGTTTAATTTTATAGAATGGGCTGAATAATTAGGACTTTAGAGACTGAAATTGTTGCCTGTAGTTTAGTGTAGCAAAAGGTTATACGATTTGCCTAACTTGATTTTATAGAATTATTTTTTTGGTAATTTTGTTCCATTAGCTGAGGAATGAAGTAAAAGTATGAAGTCAGTATCTGCAGGTGGAGATAATTTTAATTGGTTTCCACCACAGATTTTGTTGTGTGACATTTATAATTTTTTCCACTAGGAGGCAAACCCAGACCATCATATGTGTTCCTTTGCACTTCAAGTGTAAACAATAGTGTTTATTTTTAGTGAACATAAACATTTGACTTTTGGATAAGCAGGACAAACATTTTCTCTAGAAACTTACCAGAAGTTTGTTTTTTGTTTTTTTTAAAATAATATCCTTATATAAAATTTCATCACAATATTTTAATTTCAAATGAATAGTAAAACTCCTGAACTGGGAGACCTAGAATATAGTTTATTTTATGCTGTTTCTCCCCTGGTTATTTTAAGTGGTATTTAAATTGCAAAACCTTTTGAATTTTGTTTGTTGAACACATTCTTGGTTTTTTTTTCTTTCAGTATAAATATAAGAAATCATTTAAACAAAGCAAGGGCTTCTATCATTTCACTCTGGATACAGCTGAACAAATCCATCACAAAGAAAATGCAGTGCTTCAAAGTCAGGTATACACAATTATAAATACATCTTGCAGAGAGAAAAATGCAGCATTCTAACAGTGATTAAACCAGGCACAAAATCTCATGACAGCTTGCAGTGATGTACGGCACATATTCCATCAGGATCACCCCATGAGGAGAGAGGAGAGTGTTTTTGCAGGACCTAAACCTAGTGCAGAAGCATGACAAGGAAAGAGACTCCTAGCACTTTTCTCAAATTCAGACATCACTATTTTTGAAGAGACAAATAAATTAAAATTACATTACTCCTATTTTGATTTGTAGCTATTTGCTTTCCTTTATGGCTTGTGTAGAATATTCCATCATACCCCGCAGTGATTGATTGAGGTAAGTAATGTGTTTGCCCCTTTTCATCAAGAGAGTGTGAATGAATGAGTTCAGAAGGCTTCTCCAAACAAAGTGTATTTGCTTTGTGAGTTAGCATAAAGTTATGTGTTAGTGACTTAACCCTCTGTCCTTCAATGGCATTTTGTGCTAGCTTTAAGGTCATGGTCGGTGCTAGCTGTGAGGGGAATGTTGGTGCAAGACTGGACCCTACCGAGGCAGTAGTTTTCCTTCCCTTTTCCTTCCCACAGGTACAAACAAAAGTGCATTTCAGAATGGTGCTCCTGAGCCTGAAAGACAGACCTGTGCAGCCTGGCTGTGAAACAGATTTTGTTGTTGTTACAGTAAATGTGTTGTTTAATGGAAATATAACAGGGGATCCTGTTGAAAAGCTGCCAACTGTTCAGACATAGGTCATTCAGCAAAAACAATGCAATTAGTTCAAAGACTGTGATTGATGCTTCTCACTTCTGCTGTCTTTAAAGTTCACCATTTTTAGGTCTGACATTTTGAAGAAAAAGAATAAATGACTCCAGAAAAAAATTAATTCCTTGTCTAGCTGCCCTATTTCTCTAACAGGTTAAATTCAAGAGGAGTCTTCCAAGTCAAAACCTCCAAGGACCACGGTTAAGACAGGATTTGTCTGTTGCTCTGGTGAGCAATCAGATCTCACATTCTCTCAGCTGTTAACAGCCTTTTATTTTCCATTTTCCTAGGTCAAGTACAAAGAGAATTATGAAAAATCTAAAGGCAAATCAATGCTGGAGTTCGTGGATACACCAATGTATCAAGTTTCAAAAGAGGCTCAAAAGATGCAAAGTGAGGTTGGTAAAAATGTATGCTTGAACTAGCAAAACTTAGATCAACAGAGAATCTAACATATTTTATTCAGGTTAAGAGAATATATGAAGCAGATCATAAAAGTTTTATTAATAGAGGATGCAGTAGAATTAGTATTGATTAGTTCTCTTAGCTAGCTCAGTGCTTCCTATACATATGTTTTTTTTTCTCAAAAGACTATTGGTGCAAGCAGTAGACAGTGATTGTATGTAGCATCATTTGATTGAGGAGAAGCTCAAGAGGTCATCTAGATCAGAGATTACAAAGTTTTAAACCTTTGCCTATAATTCCATCTTTGATGAGGAAGGATTCTCAGGTGAAGAAGAGTGAAACTGGAAAGCCCAGACCAACCCTGTGCCTTAACTGAAATATGCTCCTGCTTGTTCAGCCTGGGGAGCTCAGGAAGGGGAAAGACTGTTCCCAGGCTCCAAAACTGCACTGGTTATGCTGTGTCAGGCCATATTTTTCTAACTTTTAATTTAAAACTTCCGGTAGTGGAGGTTTCATGATTTCCCAGGCAATTTAGTCTAGTGCTTTACCATGCATCCTGAGAGAATTTCCCTGTTTCTCCCTTGCTGCAGTTTGATTCCATTATATTTGCTGTGTGTCACAGAAGACAGATGATTTCATCCTCTTGGTGGAAACTTTTGTGTATTTAAAACCACTACCTTGTGTGCCATTTGCTATTTTTTCTCTACTGAGCAAACTATTTCTTTCACAGATCAGGTTAAAAATTCTCCTTGGAGATATACATATGTATTTTTGTCTAAATTGTGTGTGTGTCCTGCATAAATAATTTAGGTAATGAAATAAGTAATGAAGTTGCTTATTAATGTGATAACTGATTTTTGGCATGGCACAATTTGGGGTCTGTTTACAGTAATATGCTTGGAAATGCACATGCATGTAGCAATAATTATTGGGTTTGCTTCAATAGAAAATGTATCGCAAAGATTTTGAAGAAGAGATCAAGGGAAGACCCTCACTGGACTTAGACAAGACCCCAGAGTTCTTGCATATAAAGCAAGTCACTAACCTTCTGAAAGAGGTAGATGATTTTTTTGTCTTTCTTTTTACTAAGTTGTAAATGAGCAATGAGGAGCATCACTACAAGCCATTGAGTGGTGAACAACTTAACAGTTAACTTTGTAGCTAAATAAAAAAGTGACTTTATGAGTGAAAACTGGGGCCTGTCATTTTATATTCTGAATAGACCTGTAGTAAGATTTGATGCTTCTTGAGGTTCCCTTATGAACATAAGAAAATTATAAAGCTCAGACCACCTGAACCAGAAAGACAGAGTTAAATGAACAAATCAGGTAACTCAATAGAAAATGGATTGTTGGCAGGATGTTCCCTCTGAGGGCCTCAGTTTTGGAATTTGTTCCTCCCCTGGGCTCAAATAGCCCAAATTTGATGACCTTCCAGTCCTGCTGCAAGAGAGACATCTGTATGATAGGGTTTTGGAAAAGGCCTGGAGTTTATTTTCCATATAGATGAGGATGTGGAGAGGAAGATTTCTGTTGGTGTCCAGATGGCAGGTTTTTTCTTTTGAGTAATTATTTCGGGTTTATCATAGTCTGTTGTAGTTATATGGATGTCTTGAGCTGTGTGTAGTCACTTTTAACTAATTTAATGGAAATATATATCTATCATACAAGATATGGATGAAAATAAGGAAGACCAAAATTCCATAAAATAGCTGTGGTATTACATAATCTGCTTTCAGCAAATTTTGTTAGAAAATGAGTTTTCTGTATGCCCAGTGTTTCTTTAAGATTCATCCAATGTTCTGCAGTTGTATGTGGCATTATAAATTAAATAACTTTTTTCCATAATGGACAATTCTTCTATCTTTAGTCTTTTAATATTTTTATTAAAAACTGCTTTCATGCTAGGATTTGAGTATTGGTTGTTTCTATAGATGAGGCTTACTATTTGACCAAATTTAGAAGTAAATGTAGGAGCAAAGTTCACAGTTATAAATATCAGGGCTGCTAGTTATCCTCCATTTAAATTTAAGGAGCCAACAGTACCTTGCTTATTTTTGTTGGATGTTTTTGCTGCAGCCAAAAGGAACAAATTGAGAATGCTAGAATTAAAAAACCTTGAAGCTTTTTCCTTTCCTTGTCCTCTAAGCAACTTATCTCAGTCTATTTCATATGGATCAAGAAGAGGTTTTCTTTTTAGGTATTTCTTTATTATTCATCCCCTCATAAATAGCTTGTTCCTGTAAGTGTGACTTTCAGGTAGACAAGTCTCAGGCTAGGTCTACTTTGTGCAGAACCATTCTGTGTGTATGTGTCATGGACACCTACTGACTAGTATCAGCTGTGTTCCAGCTTATTCTGTTGCCTTCCCACTGAAGAGAATTCTCCAAAGATTTCACAGTTTGTAACAATAAGAACTTTCTTCTCTGGAACTGCATTCACAACTCCCTCAGAAAGGATGGCTGAGTTTAATAATTCTAAATCAGTAAAAGTAATTTCCTTCTTGTTGTAGGGCATGCTTGTGATGACAAAGAGAAGCTTCTTAAAAAATGTCTGGTTTCCTTTCATTTAAATGAAGAGTTTATACAGAGACAAAGGTGCACATTGCTGCTTATGAAGTTTAATATCTGATTAAGAGCACGAATCCATGAAGAAGATTTTCTTCAATTTTTTCTTAGTTTCTTTGCTTAAAAAAGCCTAACCCAAACCTGGAGATGGGAAAAGCAATTAAAAATCCTTTCAAAACTTAAATAACTTGATCTTCAGTAGTTTTACATCAGCTCTCTAGGAATTGGGAAGAGGAAAAGAACCAAATGTCCATGGGCAGTTTCTAGTATGCTTTTAATTTTATGCTGAATCTTTCAGTACTCAGGAGGCTGCATATTGCTAAAGGTTGATAGGTCATATCAGTGCAGTGTCTGAGGGGCACAGAAGTGATAGGAATATAGCTTCTACATTATAATTTATCAAGCAGTCATTTTAACAGGTCCTAGTATAGTGTTCAGGGCATCCATCCTAATTGTAATGCCATTAGTGGAACAGAGGTAAAAACTGCAGCACAGCATGTGTTGGTCTGTGAAAGCAAATGCTACTGGAGTTAAAATGTCTGTAGAGAGGCAGCTGAGGCTCCTAAACAATGTGCTAGTGCTGTATAGGAGAGGACTATTTTTCAAGAGTGCAACAGGAAGATACACGACTACATTAAAGCCTTTCAGTTTTTTCAACATTGTACCTTTTGATTTCATAATTTCCAATTCTATTTTAACTCTGAAATCTGTACTTCAGCTAATTCATATTTCATAGACATTTCAAAGAGACCCTTCAGACATTTAATAATTGACATTTCTTTTCAGGATCTTGTGAACAATATTAAGTGGAGAAAGCTGTCTCTTTATTTTTTTTTTTTATTTTTTTATTTATTTTTTTTTTCCCCTTAGAAAGAGTATAGAAAAGATTTGGAAGAAGGGATGAAAGGAAAAGGAATGACAGTGTTTGAAGATACACCAGATTTGATTAGAGTGAAAAATGCAGCTCAGATACTAAATGAGGTATGTTGTACCAGACAAGGCTATTGATGTCACAGGAAGTTTATTCTTTGTGTTGTACTTGACTGAAAATATGCCTTTTTTTTTTTTTTTTTAACATAATCTACAATCACCTATGTAAGTATTGAAACTAAGTCTATTTCTGTTTTCTTTAAGAATATAGAAAAGCTCTGACAAATACTTCAGATTTTCAGGCAATTGAAATGTTGATGGAATTGTAAGTAGGGTCAATAGAAACAGCATTTAAAACTGGATTAATTTTTCCATCTATTTATTTGTTCAGCTAGTATAATTAATACTGTCATGGAAAAAAAATTGGCTGTAAATGGCTTTTTAAAGAAAAGTTCAATGAAATAATTTTATTATTTTTTTTTTTTTAATCATGTACCTGCTATGTTAAAATAAATAAATATTGGTAATGACTGCCAGGCATCTCGGGAAGGCCTTATATACAAACTATTCTAATTGAGAAAACCTTTTCTGAAAGTAGAGTTGCTCATGAAGAAATGGGTCTTCTTGAGCTTCTGTTTCATCCACTTAAGATAAACAGGTGGAGGACCCTTTCAGAATATAGTTTTAGAACTGAACTTTAATATTAAGTGTACTGGTCTGAGTTGCTCTGGAGGTTACGTGGAAGCTCGTGTGTGATCTACTTCATTGTGAAGGGCTGGGAGTGGAAGACTCCTTGATCTATGTATTTTGTCTTGAAGACGACCCTGAGGAGGCAAACCTGTGTGCTCAGTAGAGCTGCAAGCTCCAAAGCTGTCGCAGCTGCAGCTCCTGTGAATGAGCTCACACAGACTGCTTGGGAAGCAGCAGTAGGGTTGGAGAGTTTGGGGAAGAAAGGGGGAAGGCAAAGCTTGTGCTGCACTTCACATCTTTATGGAGTCATTCTTTCAGAACAATATATATATATTTATATATGTATGTATTTTATATTAATTTAGTATGTGTGTTTGCTTGCACCCGTATAAATGCATAACCATAAGAACCAGAGGTTAAGCCATGCATTGGGCCAATATGAGAACTGTAAAGAAGTGCAGAAGTATTCAGCAGTAACTCCCAGGATTATCTTTTCCTTGGTGTTTTACACAACATAAACCTGGGAGGAAATATCTGCTTCTCTGCCTTTAGCAGAGATACGTAGTGAGGGATGATATCTTCTCATAGGTTAGCTCGCACTTTTTGCAAAAAACTGTGGTTTGTGAAGTGGAGAGTTGTTTTATCATGTTTATTTCCACACCAGAGCGAGTCAGAGATGGAAGACTGAAGGCCTTTTTGGTCTTGTTTTTGTAACTGATCAAACCATTGCATTGAGTAGAAAGGTATTTTCCTTCTTTTTTCTAACTAATGTATAAACTAAAAAAGAGTTAACAAACAAGAAAAGAAGAAATTTGGTAATTCTATGTATGTATTTTGAAAAAAATTCCTGTTTTCCACAGGCAGAGATAAACTAGAACTGAAAAAGACTGATTACTACCATAGTAGCAGAAACAGTACTGCTTTATAATATTTTTAGTTTACTTGTATGCAATTTTAATTGGATGCAAATATTGTATATCATATTTCAGTATTGTATTTTAATATAATTTGCTGATGAACAAGAAATACATCCTTGCTTAGGTGAGATGAAGATGAAATATCCATTTTATTTCCTTGTTATAGGTTATTTATAATTTATGTTGAGAGGAAAAAGCAGCAATTATGGATGAGTATTGCCACTTGCCTAATGGCTGTGCTTTAGAAAGACCTATAATATGAATAAATTGCCACTTCCTGTTCTGAAAGTTCATGGGAAACAATTCTGTATCGTATTAAATTTCTAACATGTAGCCATTTAATAAATAAAATATTTTCTTAAAAGTAAAATGTGTTTCAATTTGGCTGGCACCAAGAATCAGTTTATTGCACTATGTTCTGCAGAGCTACACTTCCCCTTTACTTTAAAGGATAATTGTAGCAAGCTGTATGGACTCATTTCCCTGCACCCTCTGCCAAATTAAAAATTCAGTGATAAAGTTTTATACATTCAGTGAACATCTCCTCAAGCTTTTCTTCTGTAATTTATTATGTGTTTTCCTGACAAAAACTTGCCAAGACTTGAGAGTTGTGACTCTTGAGATTTTTGATTGACTCTAGATCTTAAGTTAGATCTCTTGTGCAAATATCAACCTGTAACTCTGGCTATTGTGAACATAACATGAAGTTTTATCTTCACAGAAACAATACAAGAAAGACCTGGAAACTGAAATTAAAGGGAAGGGCATGGAAGTTGGTCCAGATACTCCTGAGATAAAACGAGCCAAGAAAGCTTCTGAAATTGCAAGCATGGTCAGTGCTAGATGTTCTGCAAGCTTTCCCTTTGACAGAATGCAACAAATTATTGTTTTGAAGAATTCCAGGTAGTGACCAACCTAGGCAGTAGGAATACCACAGATTTCACTAAATACCTAATCCGTTTAGCTGCATTGAGTCTGGAAGTTGGATGATCAGCCTACGGGGAAAAGCTGAGTTCCCAGATCTTCAACTTTTCTGTCAACTTTTGCAGGTGGTGCCTGTTCCTCATGAACCAGGCCAGGACTGGGCTGTGTTCAGTAGATGTGGGCCCTACTACTTTTAGGTCTCATCTACATATGTCTGTGCTTGTAGCTGCCAAAGCTACAAAGACAGGTGCATGTGAAAGGCTACATCACATTTGAAATAAGCAGTCCTGTTAAAAGAATTTTTTAACTAGTCAGCAGCTGCAGCACTGGTGTCTTGTAGATAGATCCTACAAACTAATGATGTTCCATGAAATGTTACATGGTGTTTTGGTAGAATTGCAGATGAAAGTGAGAACAATTTAAGAATTTGTCTGTCAGACATGTTTTTCCGATGTTTTTCATTTCAGAAAGAATACAAGAAAGACTTGGAGAATGAAATTAAAGGAAAGGGAATGGAAGTGGGCATAGATACACTTGATATACAACGAGCTAAAAAAGCTTCTGAAATTGTAAGCCAGGTAAGTACAGAATGAATCTCCTTAATTACTTTGGAAGTAAAACACAGTGAGATGTTAAAAACATAAAATCTTCCTGAATGTACCTGGGCTACAAGGAATTAACAGTGCACAATAAAAAATATGAAAATAAAGAAACTGAAGTTTATTTGTTTTTTTTTAATCTGGCCAGTGCTATCAGAATAGCTTTGAAGACAGTGTGTACAAAGAACTGTAGAATTAGTTACAGGTTGGTTTTTGTTTTTTTTTTTTGCTTCTTTTTTCTTCAGAAAAAATATAAAAAGGATCTGAAGACTGAAATTATAGGAAAAGGGATGCAAGTTGGCCCATATACTCCTGAAATACAACGGGTTAAAAGAGCTTCAGAAATAGCAAGTCAGGTAGGCATAGTAAAAAGGCCAAATGTTTTAGTTCTGTGTAACAATGAGTGCTTGACCTGCATTGCTCAAAATACTTATTGTCTAGCGCTGTAGAGGCTTTCATATCGATATTAAATTAATTTTCATGCAGAAAAAACTCTTACTGCCTGATTATTATTTGTATTTAGGTCTGTCATGTAATCTAAATTGGATTTGTTTACATCTACTTGCAGGTATTTTTACATTACCTAATGAGAAAGATATATCTATCCTGACAATGAAGGGAAAATATACATGAGAATACAGGTTATATATATACACTTATATATATATACATGTATATAAAAATGGATGTTCACTGTGGCACATGATGTCAGGTATCCCACACAGACTATGGTAACCAGGTAATGGAGGAGAGAGGTTGAAATAAATACTGTAAAGGGACACCAAGGCTTGTCAATAATAAGCATATTTTTTTGCAGTTTGGATATTCTGAGTCCAACAAAGCAGGAAATAGAAATTTTGAACTTGTTTTTCAGAAAATGTATAAAGGTGAAGCAGAGAAAATGCTTGGTAACTATTCTACTGTCCCAGATACTCCAGAGATGGAGAGGATAAAAAGTACTCAGAAAAACATCAGTTCAGTGAGTAATAGTGCTTTTCTCTTTGCTTTCAACTTCTCAGATATTTTTCAGTTTAAATGGGCTCTCTTATGCTGCAACATGAAATAGGGAACTTATGAGTAAGTGCCCTTTGAGCCATTTGCATAATTTTCCTGGCAAAAGGTGTGTCACTCATTTATTTCATTAAAAAAATACCCCACTTTTCTAGGAGTGACAGTGTTATTTTGAATTGCTAAACCACTTATACCACCTTGCCAAACCACAGTTATTTTCAAATGAAGGGGTTTTTTTTCTCTTTTTCCATCAAGCCCCAGGAAGTACTTTATCTAAAACGACAAAATAGTCTAAGGTTTGTTACTGTGCATATAAGATTTTTCCTCTGTTTCCCATCATATGTAGAAAACATCAAGATTTGGGTATAAGATTAGAACAGATCAGGTTTCATAAAGATGTGTCTAATGATTTTATGTTATTCTGGATATATTTTTAAATTTTATGCCAAATTAAAGTTTCAGTTTATCCTAAATATAAATTATGAGTTTAGACTTCTAAAATTGCCCAGTTTGTGGTGCATTCAGTTCCATTTCCTTTTTGGGTCCATTAATTCTGCTGTTCGTAATTCTAGCATTGCTTGTAATGTAACAGAGAAGAGAGGAGGAGGAGTCAATATTGCCCCTGGAACTAAATGCTGTCCAGTTAGTTTCTGGTTTTTTTTATGACATATTAAGTAATACTAATAAAGCCAATGATTTGGGAGAAAGGTATGTAAGTCACTAAAATATTTTAGTATTATCTAATACAGATGTTGTCCTTTTACTTAGAGATATTCTCAGCTTCTCTCCATCTCTGCACAAGGTCAATTAGTTTTCCTCTGAGGTGTTTGCCTGCAGCTGGCCCTTACCTGCAGCTGGCTCCTGTCACTGTGGCTTCACTGGGCAAGTAAGAGCCTGAGGGAAGAGAAGAAAAGCCTCGGGCTGCTTTAGGCAGTGGTCTTCCCTGTAACGTCTTCCAGCCATTACATGCTCCTTCCTTCAGATGAGAGCAGCTGAAAGCTACATCTTACTAATAGGAGATGTTGACAGGCCCAGTGGCCCAAATTTTTTTAACTTATTATCTTTTGGTTTTGAAAGGTGCTGTGCTGAAGTGTGTGAGGGTGATTATCACCACATCTCATGTCACTGGCATCCTAACATGCCATGCCAAAGCTCTGCTGATCTGCTTTCCTCCCTGCTTTAAACTTTGATAGCTTCTGATGAAGCCCTCAAATAGGTCAGCGGGTCTGGCAGTGCAGACTCTCCAACAGTTTGATACCAGGCACATAATAACCTTCCACTTAATTAAGCCTTGACAAGCCTCTGATGCATCTGAACCCCTTGAAGCCCAGTCTGAGTTTTCAGTGCCAAGGCTGACAATTATCCTCTTTGTTAGTATACTAGCTAATATGAAACAAAAATATTTTGTCTTTGAGGTGATTTGTGTTGGGTTTATTTTGTGATCATAATTTTTCTGCTTCTGAACTGGATCCTGCAAGTGTAGGAAAGCAGTTTATAACTGTGGTTGAATTATAATTCTTTTTCATTGCCTACATTTTAGCCTTTCAGCCTGCTGTGTAATTATAAAAGTAAGTCACTTTTTGCTAAGTTAAAATACAGCTGGGAGCAGCCCCAATATAAAAAAATAAATGACCCCCAATAGGCTTCTAATTTTTTTCATTTCTTCTCAAATATTTTCCTGCCTGAAGGGACAAAAAAAGTTGCCAGCTCTGCAGATAAGATCAGTGCTGCTTTTAGCTCCCAAGCTCATTTGTCAGATGATTTACTATAGGATATTTACTGCACAGTCATCTCTTTCATAGAAAAATTCCCAGCTCCAACTTTTTTTACCACTCCCTCCTTGGTAGAGGAGAAGAGTATATTTTAGTTCAGTCCACTCTGTAAATCTTTCTGCCTTGTACTGACATGTTGGTGCAGAAGAATTTTCAAGTTCTTACTCATGAACTATCTCTGTTCTCACATGGTAAAACAAAACTCTTTAAGTTGTTAGAAGTTTTATGAATATTCAAAAAATGAGTTGTGGACATTCTCCTCTAGAATATTTGGCAATACTGGTCACACTAGGTTACAGAGAACTTCAAGGAAGTAGGAGAAATGCATCAAGAATTATGTTTTATTGGTTGAGGCTTATTGATAGGAAAAAAAATTAAATCAATCTTGGTTTAAGAAAGAGTGGTTTAAGAAATGGTGGTTTAAGAAGTGGTAAGGATTTATTTTACAAGCTCCAGAATCAGACTTGGTTTTACACGGCCAGCCTGGAAATACTTACTGGAATGGCAACAGCTGTGACTGAAATTCAAATGAAAGCTTTTTAGGAGTCTTGGAGCGGGAACTGGTGCTCCATGTTTATTTAAATTGTAGCCACTTTTGGAGTTTGTAGAGCAGTTATTTGCCTCTCTCTTTCAGTAACTGAATGACTTTTTCTACTGATGAGCTTTGTGTTTTATCCTTCACTGAAACAATTGAAATAGAGGAGAATTACATCAACAGCATGTGTATCTTTTCAGAAGTGAGATTTGTTTTTAGATGCAGCCCCCAGCTTTTTGGCTTAAACTTAGAAATCAAAATGTAGCATGACTTGGATTGTAACTCTTGTCTGTTCTGGGTATTTTGTAATGAATATATCAATTTTCTAGTTTGTTAAATTAGAAGTAATAATATCTGTTAAGTTCTCAGAGTATTTTCAGATCTGAACATTAAAAACCCCATTTAAATCTTGCATGTACATGCACGTTCAATTACTTTTGAATGAGTGAGATTACTTAAGCATAAAATTGTATTTATAAACATTTATAGATTATGATCTAAATTTTAATATTTCCAAATTTAAACCTGTTATTACAAATACTTACAAATTTTTGAAATCAGTCTAAAGGATGATAATAGATGATCTGTGTTACAGTTATAGTTATTGATAATTGGCCTAATTTATGAAAAATTAAAATGTTTTCTTCACAAGATTTATAGTCAGACCAATTTGGAACTTGGAAAATTGCCCAACCTTTTTATGAGAACTTGTACTTGCATTGCTAACAGTCTCATAATTACTTTTATGAAGGTGTTTTATAAGACAGAAGTAGGAGCTGGCACGGCTGTAAAAGAGACTCCAGAGATTGAAAGAGTAAAGAAAAATCAACAGAATATTAGTTCGGTAAGTGTTTTTTACATTAATTATTCTTATGTGAGTAAAAGGTGGTAATATTTTTTCCCCATCTTGTTTACTAAAAATTCTATGTTTTCATATCACACATCTCATTCAAATACTGCTCCACTGGATTTTGGGTATAGCATCCAATTTTAGTTGAGTTAGAGCTCTGTAGCTCTGTGTCTAAAGTTACAGTTTCCATTTGAAGCATAATCAAAAGTAGGAAAAACTTTGAACTAAATGTTTGAGGAGAGAGATTCATTTTTCAAGAGTGAAAAACATGACGCATATCCTGATGCTAAAGACTGAACAGCAGTTGTAATTAGCAATTTAGAAAAATATAATATTACAAAAAATATAGAGGTTGGTACCATATACACTGCAAGAAGTGTGAGGGTCATGAGACACTAGCACAGGTTGCCCAGGGGGCTTGGGGATGCCCCTTTCCTGGAAATGTTCAAGGCCAGATTGGATAGGGCTTTGAGCAACCTGCTCTAATGGAAGGTGTCCCTGGCCATGGCAGGGGAGCTGGAAGTATATGAACTTTAATGTCCCTTGCAACCCAAAACATTCTCTTGAGTCTGTGAATCTAAGAGGAAAATGAATGTCCAGGCCTGAGCTATGTGAAAATGTGGAGGGTTTGTGCCTCTATACATGCTGTTGACAAGTTGATCTGTGGATCTCAAGAGACTGGTTCTGAAATGATGTTGTTTATCTATAGACACGCAATGTCCTTGTCACTTCAATGGACAACTAAAAGTAAAATATCAAAAAGAGGGTTTTCTACAAGTAGAACATGCTTTTCTGATAAATATTGTGACAAAACTTGGAAGAAATTTGAAAAGTGTTTGCCAAGCAAGAAACACTTGTAGCTGCATTAGTCACTTTTTTTTAATTTTTGGTGTGGAGTCCTCTGGGGCCATTTTTATGTTTGTGACATGACTTTTCTTTTGATTAGATGCTTTTTGTAAAATAGAGTTTGAAACTAACACATAGAATTGGCACTCATTGTGTTTAAATATTTATTGAAATCCAAATTAGGAACTCTGGACACCTATTCTATTAGAATTTTCTTGTTTAACAAGTAGCGTTAAATATTGCATTTCCCATCAGTGTTGGTCAGGTAGAGAATTCCCATAAAATTTTGAAAAGTTTGTATTTTCCTTGACATTTCTCTCTCCTCCATCCGTCACATTTCATCTTGTTGAGTCACAGAGCAATTTGAAGATTCAGTGCAAACTGTCGTGTCCTGTGTCCTGAAATAGTGTCTCTGGTTGGGAAGTTGTAGGTTTCCTTGGTTTGAGGGTGGGATTTTTTGTTGTTGTTGTTCGCTGCCCCCTCCCCCCTCCCCCCCCTAGCCTCAGGCAATTATGGTTTTGGTTTATTTTTAGCTAGATTTGTACTGGTGTTCTAGTCTTTTGTTACCTGTTAGCCAGTTACCACATACATTTATTTTGGAAGCAGGCACACAGGCTTACTAGGAGCAGTCTTTTTCTCAATACTTTTCAAAGTGAAATGAAAAAATATTGTGCAGTGCTCTTGCTGTTTTAGAAATCCTAAAGAGTGGTGAAGATGGGAAATTGAAGGGTGGATCAGTATGCTACTACACACACTTGAACAAAATCTTATCAAGAGGAACACAAAATGCATTAGTGGTTTAGTGGTATGATGCAGGTAGCACGGCCTTTACCTTGCTAGTCTGTGTGTAGTTAATATTTTACAAAAGATATTTTATTACATGTACTGTATTTGTGATTACTTAAGGCTTGTATAATATTTATTAAAAGTGCAGCATGCCAGTTTTAAAGGCAATGTGCAAGAAAGTTTTAAATTAAATGTCAGTAAAAGGGAAATTATATTGTGTTCTTTATAATAGTCCCAAAAGGAGGCTAAATTGCACCAATTTTTACTCCATTAGATTAAAACATTTCATACATATCTTTGAATTTCGCCAGAAAAACTTAGGACAGCTTGAAAAATATTTGGTGAGCTAAATGTGACTATGGAATATGAAGCACATCTGCAGTGCAAAAAACCCCAGAATACCAAAAATAACACTCACTATCCAACCAAATAATGCAAACATACCAATTTCATCATATTCTGAAAGTGATCAAATTATTCCAGATGACATGTATTGGAGGCAAACTCAGAACAGTCTGTTCAAGTTCTAAAAAACAAGGTGGTGACAGCCAAGGTGGTTGAGCTCATCTCACCTGTTGTCATGATTAGTTTGGAAGAAGGAGGCTCCTGAATATTTTGAGTCAAGATCTCAAAGAACGTTAAAAGCAATTCTCAGATCCATGGACTGTGACTGAATCTGAACTAAGAAGCTACAAATAACTTAAGAGGATTTTCGGAAAACTTGTTTATACCGAGGGACAGACAGGGCTGGACACAGCACTGGGAAGATGGCTTTTGGGGAAAAAAATTAATTGTGAGTCTGTATGAAATCCTTGAGAAAGCCTGTGTGATATGTCAGTCAACACCACAAAGCTAGGGCCTTGTTAAAGTTAAAGCAAAGGACATTTTGAAGCATTTTAAGGACCAGTAGCAGTGCCAATTCTTAAGCATACCTAATAGTCTCTATTAAAAGACCCTTTTTCCAGTGGTTCAGTACTTCTGCCAGTCCTAAACTGTCTGGACTGAAATTTTCCATTCCCGTTCTATGCTTTTGGCTGGCTTTATTTATTTATTAATTTATTAATTTCGGCCAAAGCAGCTTCCAAATATGAGCTTAGAGAAAAACAAGTTGTTTTGCCTCTGTTAAAAAAACCTGGCATTCTCCAGAAGTACCATGCCTTGGAGAAGAGCATTACAAATTATCTACTAAGTGTAATTTGTACAGTGGGTTTGGGAAAAGAGAGGCCAGGGATGAGGAACCAAAAGTCTGTTGAGACACTGAAAGTGTCATGGGGAAAGTGTAGAGTCCAAAGGGTGGGGGAAGGCAAGCAGGGTGCTTGTGTGCTCCTTTGTGTAGGTGCTTTCTCCCAGAAGAGCTGAAACAGAACCCAAGGTCATTTAGACCCATCACTTCCTGTCAGCCTGTCTCTGAGGTACCCTTGTTCAAATATTTTCCCTTTCTTTAATGATGGTGTCCATGGAGGTAAAAAAAGATCAGTCATGATTCACATGCAAACTACTCACTAAAAGGGTCACTGATTATGTCTAATGAATTAGGCAAAATTCTCTTGCAAAAAACAGCTTTTGGTGATAGATAAAGCACTTAAAGAGGAAAATAATGGTATAGAATATATTAAAAGCTGCACATGGAGCATATTTGCACAAGGGGCAGAACTAAGGTTACATTTAATTTAATTGTGTCATTTTTTGATTTTTGAAGCCTTCATTTTGCAGCCTTAAAATGTATTTAACAGAAGTTTTGTATGCTACATTAATATAAAACTATAAAAATGGATTCATTGTGCTGTTCCCTGGCCCTTTAAGCACTTTTCCTTCCTAGATTTGTGCTAATAAAATTATTTTCCAACTATTATGTATCACTGTACACACAATTTTGAATGTTTTTATTTATTTTGATATCTTACTACCATTGTAAAGAAAAAGAAAACATGCCATATCACTGTAAAGGATGGCATCGTCTACGGGTATTGCTAATTTTATGGTGCCTTAATGAGATTTGAAGCTGAATGTGCTGAATACAGTACAGACATTTAGCAACAGACAGTAAGAAAAAGACAATGAATAGACAGATTTGTCCAAGATGGCCCTTTTGATAGCATATGGAAAATCAGAAAATACAATGCCTTTCTTTTCTGTACTGCATTCATTTAACCTTTCAATTATTTCTCATTAAGTTCAATTTCAGTTTTGGTACATATGGTAAATAACTGAAGAAATTCCAGATCTGTGCATCTTTTGAATTATGGAGTCTACCATTTCCAAACATAACTGCTGTTTAGAAGAAATTAAATGTGGTAAATACCTGACAGAATCTTCAAAGGCATCATCCATCCAAACATTTGCATTCTCCCTGATGTGTCTCTGTGTGTTTTTAGATAATTTGAATGAAACTTTGAAGTCATATGCCCTTTTAAGAACATACCTGTGGAATGCTTGATTTCTGAAATGGACAGGTAGGCTCCATAGCAAGATAATAGCAAGACCAAGTAATTGTCCGAGTGATGCAGATCTCCAAGCAGTGTATGCAGTGACCCAATTGTCATAGAATCATTTAGGTTGGAAAAGACTTTTAGGATTATCAAGTCCAGCCATACAGCCACAATCCCATGGGATGTGTTCAACAGGTGTAAGAGTTTTAGGATACTTGACTTGTTACGTGCACTCGCTGCTGCAACAGGTCACACAAGATGCAATGGATACCTAGCAGCCTGTTTCAGAAATGAAATATAACAGTTCATTTTCAGGTTAATAGTGTTGATAGGTGTGGACTAACTGAGAGGTTACAAAATATTTGTTGTGTTTTAGTGCTTGTCTTTAGCTTCTTTAAATTGCTAATATTTTGTAATATTTGTTTTGCAGATTAAATACAAGGGAGAAATTCAGCATGCAACAGCTATTTCTGATCTACCTGAACTAAGGAGAGTTAAGGAAAACCAGAAGAATATTAGCAATGTGTGCCTCATTTTCATTGCTCTTACACCTCTCTGCTGTGTTAAATGTGTTTGTGTCTCAGTGAATATGTCTGTGGTGTTTATGCTGGTTCCTGTTTGTCCACAAAGACTAACTTAACCAATTAATGGTAAAATGCTAACTCCTTAGCCTTGCACTTTGATTAACATCAATGAGAGTGAAGTATTCCTCTTGAAGTATGATTTTTTGTCTGAAAGATAACTGAAAGATGGTGAGTACTAAGTATTGTGTGGAAAGATGTGGGTGTTTATTAAGGAATGGTATTTTCCATCTGAATGCAGTGGACTCTTTAATGTTACTTGGAAGCTTCTGTGTATTATCTTCTGCCATGTCTGCTAGGTTAAGTACAAAGAGCAGCTCTGCAAAGCTACGCCTGTGACTGTCACCCCTGAGATTGAGAGAGTCAAGAGGAATCAAGAGAATGTCAGCATGGGAAGTTGCTCTCATTTAATACTTTGGCTAATTTTTGAGTGCAGAGGATCAGTACAGGGTTGTGCCTCCAGAAGCTGTGCCTTTTCTTTAGTTAGGTGCAGGCTCAGTAATGGATTTACTTTACTTCCCTATTTTGGGAAGAAATTGGGAAAGCCCTTACTTGGTTTGGGAAATGGCCTGTGAAGGTCATATATTTGGTTAAAGAAATGGGTGCAGTGTTTTGAAATGTTACTCTCTATCTTGGATATTTGCACAAAATCTAGGCAGATTATCTTTTTTTTTTTTTTTAACAGAATATCCTTTCCTAGGTTTTTTTTCTTTGCTTCAAAAAATATGCTACACTTGTACTCAAACTTCAGCTCTCTTACCTGTGTCTTTCTGGTTCCTCAGTAACCTTCCTATCAGAGTTTAATATTTAATGACTCATATAACCATTAGAAAGCCATACTGTTTGCAGGAGCACAGGGAAGAAGGTAAAGGCTTTTGGAGCAGGCAGCTGCCTTCCTGCATTGCTGATGCTGTAACTTGTTAACAAGTCTGAGAGACCAGCCATTCTCGCTGGGAACTGCCATCAGCAGCCATATTTCATGGAGCTGCAAATAGCTGCAGTGTTTTCCTGGGACATTTTCTGCCATGTTCCCCAAATTAATTTAGAGTTAAAATTTTAAAGAATGCTGTCCCTCTAACTTCAGTGCGTGGTGCTTCTTTCTGGATTTATGATGATATAACTCTCCTAAAATGCACACTGTTTAAACAAGCCTGTTTTTTCAAATGATTCAAGCCTGTCTGTTTTTCTACTTTGACCAATTTTTGTGTAGTGCAAATTTCACTGGCAAGACTTAAATTCTCTTTCAAGTGACTGGAATAGCTTTGGATGAAGATTCTTCATCTTCAGATATTTCTAGAAAAACTAAATCTTGAATAATAATTTTATCTTTACAAATGTCAGTTTACAAGTTTAATCCATTTGATAGGTTTTAGAAGATGTTAATTTTTCAGTAAGAATATGTTGATGTGAACAGACCAAAACTGTGATGTGTAGGAAGACAATTGTTTCAACAATACGTATGTTAATGCCCCAGTGCACTGCAGAATTATGAGCATAATGTATCAGCACAGTTATCCTTATCACACAAACCCAAGAGCTTATGGAAAAAAACCAAACCCCATTAGAATGGAAATGTGTATTTTACATAAACCTATATGGATTGGCATAAATCATGCAAGAATCTCTTATTCTTTACTAAGGGTGTACTGCATCTGACTTCCCTGTATATGGGGCCAGGGTTAATGTTTGACTGATTGGTCTGTCAGTGCCACATCCTATCCTTCAGACTCTTTAGATACTGATCCTGCTTTGAGTGTGCATTTGGTTAATGCACCATTGGTACAAGTGTGGTTTAAAAAGCAACAGAGGTTTTATTCCTACAGTAAATTCCTAAATAAACACATTGAAATTTAGGCATTTGGATTCAATTGGCAGTTTTCTGATGTATTGCACCCCATGTTTGATCTCCTTTGAATCTATAGGGTATAAAAGTTAGACCGTGGATGGTATCCATTGCGGAATCTCTTATGTCTGGACAAATATACATTTACAGTGGACATTGCTGAAATTCAGTTTTTTCATTTGCTCTGCTTGACTTTACTGCATTATTTGTGACTTACCCCATTCCAAATATAATACTCTATACTGCCAAACACCAGTATGGCAAATGTCAAGATGTGTGCAAATGTGTCTGTATATCCACACAAGTGCATTGACAAGATGGCTATATAGAAAGAATTCAAGGTTATACTTAAAAAATCAAGTTTTGTAAACTTTAATAAATTTCAAATGCATTTTAGCTTTTCAGTTGTTTCCTGGATGACCTTTTAAATCATACATTTTAATGCAATACAGTGTGATATTGCCTTAGCTGAAATAGTATGTACCATTTTATTCTGTTAAATAATAGGTTCACTACAGAGAGCAGCCTGGCAAAGCTACTGCTGTGAGTGTCACTCCTGAGATAGAGAGAGTCAAGAAGAATCAAGACAATATCAGCTCGGCAAGTTGTCTGAATCTTTTTGCCATTTAGATTTTCAGTCATTTTAGGAATATAATAAGGATATGGTTTTCCATTTAGATTTGATGTGTCAAATGAATCCAACTGCATCATCTACTGAATGGATTTTTTTTAACCCTTTGAGCACTTGTATTGCACAAATGGGCAACAAAAATATTCACTGGATGACCTTTTAAATCATACATTTTAATGCAATACAGTGTGATATTGCCTTAGCTGAAATAGTATGTACCATTTTATTCTGTTAAATAATAGGTTCACTACAGAGAGCAGCCTGGCAAAGCTACTGCTGTGAGTGTCACTCCTGAGATAGAGAGAGTCAAGAAGAATCAAGACAATATCAGCTCGGCAAGTTGTCTGAATCTTTTTGCCATTTAGATTTTCAGTCATTTTAGGAATATAATAAGGATATGGTTTTCCATTTAGATTTGATGTGTCAAATGAATCCAACTGCATCATCTACTGAATGGATTTTTTTTAACCCTTTGAGCACTTGTATTGCACAAATGGGCAACAAAAATATTCAAACTTGCCTGATTATTCCTGCAAAAAAAAAAAAAATTGAGTGGTTCTGTTAACACCAGTATTTTTCAAGGAGAGAGCCAATAGAGGTCAGTCATTCTTTCAGGAATCTTTGTCTCTTATTACCAAGTTTTACTTGCTAGATTTCAGGGGTAAATTACAGTAAAGAACAAAGGAAATGAGAATTTAACTTTTGTGCAAATTTAATTGTTTTATGATGCAAAGCATGGATGCATATAGTTATGCATTCTGTTCTATGACATGCCTCATCTGCCAGAGTCAAGGAGTCCTAAATAGATCCTATTACTAAACACTAGTGAGTAAAACACTGCATTTTTCTTGGCTTTTATGATAATACTTAGCTCCTTTTTGCTTTGTTTTGTTTTTTTAAATCACCACTACGGTGGTGTAAGAAGCAGCAGACCATTCTAATAAGAAGTAAGGAAAAAGTCAAAACAGCATGGTGAAGGAAAGGAACAGACTAGTTACAATTACAGTCTGTGTCCTCAACACTGAAACATCAGTCACAAAGCCCCTGCAGATGGCAAATAGAACATGTTTCATGCAGACCTGCTATCTCAAGGTGGCAGAAGAGAATTAACAGTAATGGACACTCAGAACTGAGAGTAGGGGTGTAAAATAAAAAAAGAAAAATAGGTTGGATTTGTCAGAGGATTTGTCTAGGGTCAAGGGAACACAATTAGACCTTGTAACTATGTATGTCTTAAATATGTTCTTAACATGCTCTTGCATATTTACCAAGGTCAATTAGATTTGAGATGCATAGTTAAGAGGGAAACTTCTCAACAGCTCCAGACTTGAAATATGTTTTATTTCTGAAAACTAAGCTTTTTTCCCCAAGTGACTCCTTAACTTTGTTTGTCAAGATTTACAGTGATAATTTCTTTTTTATGTTAATGAGTGGCACTTGAAAACCAAACTGTGTTGACCATAATTATTTTGTCCAGAAAATCCTTTATATTCAAAAGCATATGAAGCTAGATATTTTGCTAAGAAGTTATATTGTTTAATTAAGAACGATTTGAAGAATATAGAGTACCATGTATTTCTGTTTCTCTGGACATAATTTCAAACTTACCTATGAAACCTAAACACAAAGACTCATATGTTCATATTTGTGTTGTGTCTAGCTAATATGTAATTTTAAGGAGGGTTAGAAAATTTCAATACTTGGTTTATCTCATCACAAATGAATGTTGAAATAGATTTCCACAACTGATTTGAAAGGTAATACTTTGAGTGTGAAAGTGTAGGTAAATCTGGAATACTATCACTCAATATACAGATTACAAGTGCAATGAAGGAGCATTTACTGATAATTAACTTTGCATCTTTACAAGTCTGTGAACTGCCATGAGAGAAACTTATTAGGAGAAACACGGTATAGGAGGCTCTGCACAACACAGAGTCCACATGGTCTCTCTGAAAACAGCATGTTCAGATTTGTCCCAGGCATGTTACTTTTGTGCTGCTAAGCAAGAGTGAGTTACCAAACAGGAGTATCATTATTTATCTTATTTTTCAATGGATAAATTAATTGCTTCACTTGTGTCATTTAACAGTCAAGACTTTAATCTTTCAGGTAAATACTATTTGTTTGAGTAAGTGATTGATGGAATAAATGTGCCCTTTGGCCTTACCAATATACTAGCTTGTCTGTGTCATCCCTCTGAAATAAGTCACTAGAAAATAAGTGTAAAGAAAGAAACAAGAAAAAAGTTTGGCACTGTGGTTTGGAAAGGTTGCTGCTACATGGTGTGATTCTTACCCTCCTTTCTACTGTAAACAAAAACTTCATGTGTGCTATTGTTGTTTTGCAGGTCAAGTACAGCAGTGATCAGAGGCAGATGAAAGGTAGACGTAGTGTGCTTCTAGACACACCTGAGCTAAGACATGTCAAAGAAACACAAAACAACATCTCAATGGTAGGGTACTTTCTTCCTATAACTAGAATATACTAAGGAATGGCACTTGACTTCCACTGGATTTTGCCTTCCATTAATATAGGTAACTAATGGAACTCTCTTTTCAAGTATGGAAGGAATATTTTCTTCTTATGCCTGTTGAGGGAGTGTTTTCTAACTGCATATGACTGTAATGAACATTTTCAAAATACTAATAAAAAGTTTTCTAACAGTTAAATGTCTGTTCTTTTTTTTGTTTGGTTTTGTTTTTTTTTTTCTTTAAAAAAGTACACACATCATTTGAGCATCACACAGTTTGTCTGGATTAGGTGACACACCACCTTGTGCCTGTGCACGTTCTTGGTTTCTGTGTGACTTTTGTTCTTGGAATGAGTTGCTTTGTGTGCGTTTGCTTGTGTGAGAATGTTTGTCAATTTAATTCTTTGGTTATTAAGACTATTTAAGAAGCAAATATGTGTAATTAGGAATACTACTTTATAACTCCTACTAATACCGGTTTTGGGCCAGCACTTGGTTATATAACATTTTCTGCCCTAATGTCCTTGGTTCTGTTTTTTTTTTTGGTTTGTTGTTGTTTTTTTTTTCCTTAAAGTGGGCTGCTTAGAGTAACTGCAATTCTTTCTAAACACCTATGTTTAAAGCCAGCTGGCATATGGTAAAACAAAAAAGCGAAATAATAGCTTTTGTATGAAACTGTGCATATAATCAAAATTCTCAGTGAATGAAAATACCTGAGTTCTTTAGAATTGTTACCACTGCAACATTGTTACTGACAGATGTAGTTGTTTGCATCAGTAGAGAGCTATCTTATAGAAGAAGGGAATGGACCAGGTGACCTCCTGAGGACTTTTCCTATCCTGTGTAAGATGATGCTTTGTTGCTTGAGTCAATGCTTAATTCAGTGGTAATGGAAAACAAATGCAAAAATGATAACAAAGTATTAGGAAATCATATTAAGGAGATAGAAAATATTTGGCTGGTTGTCCAGCCCATCTCGTGTGTGTAACAATTCTAATATGGTGCAAAACACAAAGAATATAACTGCTGCCTAAAACAAACGCATATTCATTCTTGCATAGAATGATTATTTGCTGTCAGTGAGAGCTCGGGGAAAAATATAATTTTTCTTGTTTCCTAGGTTAAATACCATGAAGATTTTGAGAAGACAAAGGGCAGAGGCTTCACCCCAGTGGTAGATGATCCTGTAACAGAGCGGGTGCGGAAAAACACCCAAATTATGAGTGATGCAGCATATAAAGGTGTGCATCCACATATCGTTGAAATGGATAGAAGACCTGGAATCATTGTTGGTAAGTTCTTGAATACTGTTGCTATTGAAAACATTCTGGGGAAGCTGAAAGCCTCTGCTTGTGTTCTCCAGTATTACCAAGAAGAGGTATTCCAAGATTTCATTTTCTCTTTTCTCAATATGAAACTTGTGTTGAACTACTGGTTCAATTCCAGCTTCTAGTGATGTAATAACAGGAATGAATGTGAGACACATTGTCATTTGCTCTGTATTCTTTTTTCAAATATGGATAGTCATTACTTAAAGTTTGAATTTTGGCTCTTCAAGAAAAGCCATAATATCACAATAATCTTCATTTTGCACAGAAGAGAGGTGATAAAGCTGTGATTCTCCAAACTGTCACTGTTTAAATGTTACAGACCAGTCTGAGATTTCCCATTCTGTCCATTAGCAGTTTATCTGGAGCTGCACATGCTCCACTTACCTCTTGCTTTAGCAAGTCTGCTATGGTGAAGGAAATGGTAATCTGACTCTTTCTTTTGGTATGTCCTTTTTCTGTTTTTCTGTGCATTACAACAGTGTAGAACCCAGAAGGTCTACATATGGAAAAACATGCTGAGATAGAATTCTAAAACCCTTTATACATAGTAATAATAACAAGGGTTAACTTTAAGTCTACCTTTCAAAAATCAGAGAAATCGCAGGTCAAATGGACTAATTAGTGTGTCATATAGTCCATTCTCCTGCCTAAAGCAAGGTTAACTGTATCTATATAATTCCTGGCAGATGCTTCTTTAGTCTTTTCCTTAAAATCTCGAAATGAGCCTCTATTACATGAAGAAGTGTATTTCTTTCCTTTTGTATAGCTACCTCTTACATGTCTGTAGCTACAGCCGTTGCTCAGAAGGGATTTTTCAAAAGTGAGTGTTTAGAGAGCTCTTCCTGGGACAGGTACTGATGCTTTTAAGACCATGCAATTCTCAGGGGGTCACACATTTCAGATCTAGGGCAACAACTTTTTCAGAGTATCTTTGTCTGTAGATAACCAAACACTTCAACTCACTACCATAGCTATAGGTGGTGCAGCCAAAGAGAGAAAAGCTCCTGCAAAACTGCAGTTTGATATACAGTTTGAAATATGCTGTTCAGTGTGCACTTTAAACCTGCTTATGGAATGTTCTTGACAGCTAGAAAAAAAAATTGCAGACTGAAAAAAATAACTATGATCCTCAAGTTTTTTCCTAGCTGATACTTCAGTTAAGCCAGTTAGGAAAAGTACGTCTGTGTTAAGAGTCCATCTGCTTGTTTTTTTAGGTATTACTGGTGAAGCTGTACCAACTTTTTCAAATGCCTGATTGCTATAACTAACGCCTCTCATTAGAAAGTAAGCACTAGTTTTAACCATTCTAAAACTATTCTAAACCTATCAAGATAAATTAATCTGAGCTTTGGATCTACAACTAGAGACATTGTGATTCTCATGTGAGTATAAGGATATTTTAAATCGGCAAAAGTAACCAGGAAGCTAAAATTGTTTGGTGCTATAAATTGCCAAGATTCAGACCCTATGTGTGTTATTTCAGATTACAGAGGTGGATAAAATAAATTCAAATAAATTACTTCTGCACTGATGCTGCCATGAAATCATACTTAGAATCATAGAATAGTCTGGTTTGGAAGGGACCATTAAAGGTCATCTAGTCCAACTCCCCTGCAGTAAGCAGGGACATCTTCAACTAGATCAGGTTGCTCAGAGCCCCATCCAACCTGATCTTGAATGTTTCCAGGGATGGGCCATCTACCACCACTCTGGGCAACCTGTTCCAGTGTTTCACCACCCTCATTGTAAAAACTTTCTTCCTTGTATCTAGTCTAAGTCCACTCCTTTTTAGTTTAAAACTGTTACCCCTTGTCCTATTGCAGCAGGCCCTGATGAAATGTTTGTCCCCATATTTCTTATAAGCTCCTTTTAAATATTGAAAAGTCACAATAAGGTCTCCTTGGAGCCTTCTCCAGGCTGAACAACTCCAATTCTCTCAGCCTTTCTTCATAGGACAGGTGTTCCACTCCTCTGATAGTTTTTGTGATCCTCTTCTGGACCCATTCCAGAAGGTCAATGTCTTTCCTGTGCTGAGGACCCCAGAACTGGACATAATGCTGCAGGTGGGGTCTCACAGGAGGGGAGTAGAGGGAGAGAATCACCTCCCTTGACCTGCTGGCCATGCTTCTTTTGTTGCAGCCCGGTTCACGGTTAGCTTTCTGGGCTGCAAGTGCACATTGCCAGCTCATGTTGAGCTTCTCATCAACCAGCACGCCCAAGTCCTTCTCAGGGCTTATGATGTCTTTATTTACTAAAGCATGATCAAACAGAAAAAGTTGGTCATTTACCAGTTTCCCCACGCCTGTCATGCCTGTCAGTGGTTTATGTCATTGCATAATTTATCACTGTTAGGATTAACACATAGTTTATCAAAAGACTTTGTGTTGGCTTTTATTCATCTTGTCAAGAGGGAGTTAGTGATGTGCCCAACTTGTAGGAATTGCAGTAGATAACATATAATGTACATACATTTCATGTATTCTAAATCCATAGGATTTACTTCATTAGTTCTGTCTGTTTTTTCCATTGCCTCAAGGCTATCAGTAATTTGTAACATGACATATTTAGGGGTCCTTGCAGTCCTACTTTACCTGCCAACCCATTATTTAGCTTGGTACCATTCAAACTAGTCGAAGGGCCAAGTTGGAAATATAGGGTTTTTTTCCTGCTTCCAATGCATTGAGTAAATCTTGCAGACAGGTATATCCAAGAAGCAAACCTCTAGTAAAAAGGCATGATCTGGTAGATTTGTGCTTTAACTGATTCTACTTTGAGGTTTTATTTTAAACTGGTTTGGGGAGATTAAATGATTATTGTTATTTTTAGGCATAGCAGATATTGTATATATTTGTTGATGTTAGTAGATTGAGAATTTACACTGTAGCTGCATCTGCCTTTGTTATAAGCTTTCTGTTGTACAACACTCTAATTATTTGTTAAAAGTTTATTAAAAACATGGTTGAATCTGTGTTCACTTTTCTTCTGTGATTGTAGATGAAACTTGGATATGAAATACTTTTTTCCTATGAATTCTTTTGTCCTTTGATATCTAGTTCAGTCATGTGAATTCAAGATACATTAATAACTTACCTGTATGAATTAAAGGTGAAGGTCTTACGGTTACTCCTGTTATTGAATCCATGCATTGAATTAAAAAAATTTGTTTAGATAGCAGGGTAGTGGATCAACAGTAACACTGTGTCCCAGGAAACATAGATATTTGGAAGTCAAAGGGAATTCCTAGGTTCTAGTTAAGATCAAGAGTGAGCTTCCATTTTACCCAACTGTAGTTTTCTACAGTGGAGTCTCTCTCTAGTCTTTTTTTTCCATTAAGTAAGAAAGAGGTATACTTTTTAGTTTATATAAGTTGAGCAACTTGTAGCAATTTATTTTGGATAAAATGAGCTATGTCCCTAATTCTGCTTATGAGGCTGACTTGTTCTGTGCTGTGTGCAAAGGAGGGCCTGTATTGCCTCTGTCAGCTGTAGACATGTATAATACCAGCTGTCAGCTATAGAGATATATACTGCAGCATCTCCATGGAGTAAGTATGCTATTGGTGGGCTGGGGAAGTAATTTTGTAGCTCTGATAATTTTGATTCTGGTTTTGGAAGAAAGCTTCCATTTACTTAGACTGGAAAAAATACTGTGGTCGTATTTAGAAAAGGAAAACAAAAATTAGAAGAAAAAGTGTCCTTAAAATAATGTCAGCATTCGTAACTAAATTTCTTTTAAGTGTCTTAAATTCTTTCTGGTCCTTTCGGGTTAACATCTAGATCTTTTGGTTAATTTTTAGGTGAAGGAAATTGGTTGCTGATTGTTAAAACTCATTCCTTTCATGCTTTTACTTCCTTTGTTGTTTGTCTGTCATATAATTTCTGCACTTTGGGAAAAGATCTAAAAGTTTGGCGCACAGATCCTGGCTCCATCTTCGACATTGATCCCCTGGAAGACAATATTCAGTCTAGGAGTCTGCATATGCTTTCTGGTATTGCTTTTATCCTGACTTTTCCCAAATCAGCATTTTATGTTTATGCAACTAAGTTGATACAGTAATTTTTCAGGTCAATGTGCCAGCCATATGCTTTATAAGTGTGTGTGTGTGTGTATATATATATATAAATAAATGTAGCATTTTAAAAGCAGTGTTTTATATAACTTCAGCTGTAATCATACATACAGGTAAGAAAGACCAATAGAAAGCTTATCCTAAAGAACAATTATTCATACCACTTACAAGTAGACACTTAAAAACATTGACCTACTTTGTCCTCCCTGTAAGTCAAATTTTCAAGTAGTTGGACCTTACTAAAATTTCAGAGATACAGAAGGTGGCCTATTTATGAAACTAATTTCTTTTCTATTCACGTTTTGCTCATATGACCTAACATATTACGCCTTGTGCTATTGTTTGCAACTCTGAAGTGTTAGTAATTTAAGGGTAGATGGAAAAGAAGAGGAGGTAATATAATAGTAGGCAGCAATGTTTTGATTCTAGAAGGTTTTGAATTTTTTTTGCCCCTAGAAGTGTTTATTTTGAAAGCTCAATTTTTGCATGCGTTTTCTTTGCTACTAATAGTGGAACTTTAAATATTCTTTCAAATGTCATACAGCAGTATTTCCACATGCACTTACATGCGTGCTGGAATAAAGGAACATTTTGATTTTCCAGTGGAAATTTTCATATGCTTCATTTTTATCCCTTTTTTTAGCTTAGTTGCATCTGGTTTTGAAGCAACCTTTTGAAATAATGGTGTTAAAAATGGATACAAATTTGTGAATAATTCACATTTCTAATTTTAATGCCATTGGTGTATAAGTATCAGTGTTAACAGTGCTGGGGTTTTTGTTGATGCTTGTCTTTGCAATTCTGTCACCTATTTACTGTGATATTGTTTCTTTCTACCTTTGTAGAAAGAGCAAGCCGATACAGTAAGCAGTATTTACGTTCTACCAGTTTGGGAGATTATAAATCAGATGGCTCTGACACGAACCCTACCTTTTCTTACTGCAGTGAGATAACAAGGCCGTCTGATGAAGGAGGTACCCCTTATTCCCACCTTTTTCACTAATGACACTATCAAAGTGTGCTGAGACATCACAGCCCTGCATTAACTCCATATCCTTGTGTAGTTACAAATAATTAAAAATTATGTAAGCTGTTGTTTGATGGGTTAAGGAAACAAAGCAAAACCTCAAGACTGCACGGTTTCTTGCATGCCATGTTACCTCCTTACTGTGTATTCTCTCTTTTGCCGGTTTGGTAACTCAGTCAGTCCAAAAGCTCTGCTAACTCCTGTTAACAGTCCATAAGAGAAGGTGTATTGTGTTTCTGCAAAACCTATGTGTATCTCTGTTTTTTTTTTTTTTCTTCCCCTCTCAAAAGACACAATGTAACTGAAAAAATACACATCTGAGCTGAAAAAAAAAGAGAAATTTACCTTGTGCTTTTCAGTGTGCAAATCAAACATATTTTAATGACTGAAGGACTGAAGTACTCAGATGAAACTATGCAGGTGCCTGTGGCGCTCTGTTTCCATCCAGATAAAAAGAAAAAATGTGTATCAACTGGCAACTTTCTGCCGGTTTGCTTATAGTCTCAGCAGTTTAGGAAACGGTTAATCAGCTGGGAAGTTTATATAGTCCTATGTTGTTTAACATGGATTAATATTAGGATACTCTGACCAACCTGCATTCCCAAATGTAAAACCACATCTTGAATCTGTGATACCACAGGTAGAACAAAATTCATGAAACTGATGGATGGGGGTCTACTCATCCTACTGGCATTACAGTGTGTACTAAACTTGACTGATGAATTGTACATATTCGGAAACATGGCATTATTAATATATGTTTCTAAAATAAAGTGATTTTTACTTCTCAGTTGTAGAATGAAGATGCATCAAAAAAGTTATCCAAGGGTTTTTTTTTTTGTTTTTTTTTTTTAAAGACAGTTGAAGAGTCAAGATACTGCTACCATCCCCTGTCATCCATGAATTACCCATGCTTTTGGAAAGTTTTAAGGCATTTTAATTGTAGACTGCACCTATTTATGTTCTGTCACTTGCCAGAGTAATATGTTGTTATAGTGGCTAGTGTTTAGGGAGTCTGTGTTGCATTAGGTGGCATCTAAATATGCACAAGCAGCTCTGATTAAGAACAGGTGAGGAAGAAACTGTTTGGACTGAAGAACTGACTCTGAACAAAGAAAGAAATACACATCTTTAACAGACCTGTAATCCCTTATATCATGTCTATCCATCTTTATTTGATATTTTAACTGTATTCCCAACTCTTTTAATAGATTATAGCAATAATGCGTATCGTGCTGGCTTTTATGTCTTTTCCTGTGATGATGGAAAGCGGGCTTCATAGTTCAGTGCAAATCGTCTCTATCTGTTCCGATTTTTCTGGCTCTATTGCAAGCCATTTTAATGTTGCTTTTTCAGCTTGATTTGATTGTTAACAGATATTTTTTATTACTAGCCATATTGAGAATAGGAAATGGGCTTCATTTTCCCGGTTGTTTTGGCACTAGCAAGCTTGCTTTTTGTGTCTCTGTTTAAATCTATTGTTGTGGTGATGTGTTGGATAGATCCCTGCCAAGACCAACATATTTTAGCAAGATATTGTTTCCGCTTTTGACCCAGCTGGCTTGCCAGGGTTTGAGCACTTGCAGACCATTCCCATTGCAGGATAGAAATAAATGCCAGTGAAAAGTAATTTGATACAATTCCAATTATTTACAAAAAAATACCATTTCTGTGAACACATTCAGAAAAAAAACAGCAGCAGAAGATAGCATCTTTGGTGAAAAAGAGCAGCCTTTTCCATGACAAAATCCCATCCAAAATGTCATTTAGCATATAGCCACAAGGTGAGTTTTCCCTTGGCCTTTATACAGTGTATCTCATGCCATACTACAGTAAATGAGAACCAAATCAATTTGCTGAGATTTCATGGCTGGTTCTCATCGAATTTGTACTTTTAGATATAGCAGTGTTTCTCACTGCCAATGTTTTAATCTGTTGGTGTGCCAACATGAAAAGCAGTTGGAGACCTTTGATCAATTTTGCAGCCTCTAAATGTCTTTGGCCTTGTCTCATCATTTTTCAGATATTTGTATGTTGTTTGATTGCTAATTTATTCTAGATACCTTTACTGATATTTGACCCACAATTCAAGTCTTCCACTGCCACTGCAGTTAGCGTTGTTTCTTAACCATCTCTCCCAGCTCTGAGCTGGGTCCCTGGCTTCACACCAGATGTTAAAGGCTTATTCAGATCTAAATAACTCCCTCTCTTGTCTTTGGGGAATTTCAGTGACAACATCATAGGGAGGCTACTAACATTGTTCACTGAAATGACTTCTTCCTATGTGGTTTCACGACCATTATTTTACATGATGAGGTTGAGTTGGAGATCCAAGTGTGCCTCCCAGAGAGCTTTCCTTAGAAAATCAGTAAATTTTTGCATAATCTAAGTTCAGGAAAATCCATGTTACCCTTTTAGACTACTGCAGGCAAAACTGGATAGGAAAAAAATTGTTAGTGTTTTCCAGCAAGCCTCATGAACTTTCCATTTGATTTTCTTTTTTAGATAACTTTCAGCTTGGTCCTTTGTGCACCTTCTCTCAGTGTTTTTCAAGGCTGACTTTTTTACTTCATAGTATCATTGAATTTTTTTTTTGCCATACTTGACAGAAGGTGTTGCCCTAGGGCCTCTCAGTTTGCCTAAATGCTTTGTCATTAATTGCTGCCCTAACAAAGATTTCCTTTATACCTGCAAGCTATTCTGTAGCAATTCCCAGAAACAGCTGGGTGCTACATGAGTTCTTGCAAAATTCTCAGCTGTTTTTCAAGTATGTATTTTCATCTTGGCTAAAGAGGAACATAAGCTAATGATTTCTTTCTTTCAGTTCTGCTTTTAACACTGATGTTGCAACTTCTGACACGGAACTATTCATTCACTTTTGGGAAGGTTTTTTATTTGTGTCAAAAAGAGAAATTGAGATATGATGTCAGATTTATTTTTGTTCAAAAGATGGATGAAGCAGTTCCTTCTTCACAGAACACTAGGAGAAAAAGCAATGAGAGGCAGTTCCTTTGCTTTCAATTTGGGTCTTTCTGGAGAGAATTACGTCCCAAAAATTTATTGACTTTTTTTTTGGTTTTTTTAGGTTTCTTTATACAGTCTTTTCTGTCTGCCCTGATTTTCTGTGCAGTGTTACACACTGTTTTTCTCCCAGTTCTTTTCACACTCACTCCCCTTCCTCCCCTACAACTGAGGACCCATTCTGTTAGTTTGCATTCAAGCATCAGGAGAGGATGATCTGGTTCCTGTGGCTCAAGCCTATTCTAGTTGTGCATTATTATGGACAGTTGTATTAGTAATTTAACCATCTACTCCATGAAGGAGATTAATTTCTTATACATGTAACTCCCATTTCTGTATAATTACAGAATTTTTGGTGTCTAGTGACAGAAAAAGGAACTCAGGTGTTGTCTCATTGGACTGCTTGTATTCACTTTTCTCTACAGTGTTTTTCAAAAGTTGTGCTAAAGCATTTATTTTTATAAAAATATATTCTATTTTAAGGTCTCCATATAAAATTAAACTACCATCTTTTGTTAGTTACTTTCTTCAGTAAGTGAACGTGACATTTAGCTCACACCCTCAAGGCTCAAGACTGTTTTGTTTAGTTCCATGCCCCCAAAAGCAAGAGTAAAAATGCTTGAAAATAGCTCAAGTTCATAATATTGGAGACTTTTTTTTTTAAAGACTGGTTACTTTAGAACATTTTCTATACTTCTTCTTCTCAGTAGTTCCATCTCTAGAGACTGAGATGGTGAAAGGACTTTGTAACCCTGGAGTGTTAATATATGGTATGATCACAGAATCACGGAATCGTTCTGGTTGGAAGACTGTTAAGATCATTGAATCCAACCATAGCTTAACTCTACCAACTATTAACCTAACTCTACCAAGTTCAGTGCTTAAAACATGTTCCCAAGCACCACATCTACACATCTTTTAAATACCTCTAGGGGTGGTGATTCAACCACCACCCTGGGCAGCTTCTTCCAGTGTTAATTACCCTTTTGGTAAAGAAGTTTGTTCTAACAGCTAATCTAAACTTTCCCTGGCACAACTTGAGGCCATTTCCTCTCGTCCTGTATGGAAAATAATTTGTGGTGTATGATCACAGAAACCTAGCTCTGTTGCTCAAAGCTATCTGTGTGCAGGGTTAGAGAAAGAGTGGTAAGATAAAAAGAAGGCAGTAAGTAACCTTTAAGGCTAATTAATATTGTTCTTCAGGCCCATTGTTTGTAGTAAGCAAAGAAACAAAATGCTACAACCAGAGGAAATTCTGGTTTAGGATTGAAATGTCAAACAGTTTAAGCTTTTGAGAGTGCAGAAACTTGTCCTTAAGGGAGTTGACCTTGCGTCTACAGGGGTCACTCTGCTACTACTGGAACAAATGCCAGGCTTTGCTGTGATGGCAGGGATGTGACTGGACATATTTGTGTACTACTAGAATGGAGCTGAAGTCCTGAAGACTGAGCAGATGGTAGCAGATGAGCCATAACATGGCTACTAGGCCTGCTGTTTTTGTCACTTCTGTCTTGCATTGGTCTTTACCTGATTTTGAGGTGAAGAATTGCTCTTAAGTGTGTTTGGAATGAGGAGACCCATCTGCACCAATGATTATTGCTGTTATTCTCATTTCACTGTTATTTATTCATTCACTGTATCTCTCTGTCTTTTGTTATGCAACAATTTGGGTGCACATTTTGTGTTCATTATAATTCAGTGAAAGTGTATTCCTTAGGGTTCCTCCTTTTGTTTTAGTTATCCAAGTCCTTTTATGCTACTTTCCTTCAATCCTGTTTCAACTGCAGAATGTTTTAGTTTCATTTTATAATATTCTTCCTTCTATCAGTTTTTACTTAAATTATCTTTCAATCTGTTGTATCTTTGTGGGGCTTTCTGTTTAGGTCTCTCCTGTTTTTCTTTGATTTAAATCACTAGGATTTTATT